GGCAGTATGACCTCTGAAACGTTGGTTAACATCGACCAGACTACACAGCGCAACAACCCAGAAGACAGAAATCTTCATACTCATCGCCCTGATGATGGAGGCAGTATGACCTCTGAAACGTTGGTAAACATCGACCAGACTACACAGCGCAACAACCCAGAAGACAGAAATCTTCGTACTCACCGCTGTGAAAACCTCAAATCTTACAGCGATCTGTTGTTTCAGAGAGTGTGCATTGCGCACTCTAAACGAGTGGCCTGTTTTAAAGTTTTCTACTATGTTTCTTGTTTTAAAATTGGGCTCTACTTCTGGCGCGGAAAAACACCACTCCCAAAATTGTAAGTTATGGTCTAGTTTAAATTAGTTTTCAAGTTTTAACGAGATTTCTTCAACTTGTTGGCAGTTGAATAGACATCAGCGTCATTAAGTGGTTAAACGAGTTATTAACTTACCACTTCCGGTACTAGAACCAGAAGGTTCAACAACATTCACAGAAACGCTGGCCGCCGAAAGTAATCTCCAGACTTAATCATCCGCGTGGTTTATTATGTAATAAGAATGGCTGGGCACAGGATTTCACGATTGAATACCTCTGCATCGTTAAACAGTTCTGTCTTGTACTGAAATCACTGTGTTTGGTGGGTTATTGGCTATTTTCATTGCGATTCAGGAGAAGTGTTTATGTAGTTGATGACAGCGCTCGGAGACGCCATCGGCAAATTCCCGAACCACTGTACGTCGTTAGTTCCCCCCGCAGACGAGTGAGGTTCCCTGAGGAAGATCTCCGAAAAGTATTTTCCATATTTTAATATGGCCGATGGTCATTGCTGTTTAGGTAAATAATCGCTGTTATCGAAATAACATTCTATGGCAAAATTCAGAGTTAGTGAATGTTAACGCAGATGAACGTTATCCCTTGGTCTTTCTGAGTAATAATGTTACGTAATGTTATACAATAGCCACGGTGGTCTAGCGGTTAGAACGCTGGCCTTGTAATCCTGGGGTCTCGGGTTCGATTCCCGGCGGTGCCCGAATTTATAACTTGTGTTGGGCAAGGCCGTGGTCTAGGCAAAACGGAGTTTTCCTCCGTGGCATCCCAACAATTACTCCATTCACACACAGAAGAAGGCAAGGGCAAACCACTTCTGGATCAGCTGCCAAGAACGTATATGAACAGGTCCCAGACCGAGAAAAAATTTTAACTTAATGTTTGGCCAGAATGATTGGGTATTTCCAAATTCTTATTCGACAGTTCGTAAACTCTTTTGTACGTTTAACAGTCGAAGATAAAGGTCTTCCCTGACAGTAGTTCCGTTTGTTGTACAGGTCTGCAAATGCGTTGTTTAGAGCTACAAAATTTAGCATTCACACACAGAAGAAGGCAATGGCAAACCGCTTCTGGATCATCTGCCAAGAACGTATATGAACAGGTCCCAGTCCGAGAAAAGGATGGAAGGATCCTGTTCATATGGACCTGTCGTCAGACAGAACACTAAATAAATAAATAAATAATGTTATACAACTGAGTTGAATGAATGTATTACGGTGACCGAGTCGGAAGGTATGAGAATATTCGTCATAATAGGCCCACATGCCAGTGTGAATCATTGGTAATGAAATCAGTGGCCCGGATATTACGCCGTGTTTGTAGACAGGTTGTGCGGTTGTTTCGCACGTGTAGCTAAACGAACTTCGCTACAAGACAGAGAGATGCCCTACTTTTGGTGCCACTGAATAACAGCGACATTAACTTAATTGGAGAACACGTTGCTTAGACCGACGTGCAACGATCTCAGGAATGGCAGATAGGAGAATTTCATTCGCTTTTGCGGTTAATCATTCGCGTATTTGCTGTTTTAGACGTGTCCTACCCTGAACTGTACCTCAAGTTTATGAGCTCTGCCCGCCGTGCCTGAACGTACATGGGCCTGAGACTACTGCGAAGTGATCCCCAGGATTTAGCGAGCTCGAGATATCCGGGGGAAAAACCCTGAAGAAAAATCTGTCTGCCTGTCTCTCTCTTTCTGTGGCGTATTGTGGTACTTCACAAAAGAGCACAAAAACATTTAAAATATTTGCATTCTGTTGTGTACTTCGCGAATAAATGTGTCTTGGTTTATCTAGACAAATGTCTTCTAAAATACATCTGTTTATTTATAATTTTTTGCGATGAGAATTACGATTTTTTGTTTTATTATAACGGTGTATAGCAAAAAACGAAACCAATTCCATTGAGCGTAGTCCATCTTGAGAAGCTAACAATATGCCGTCTAGTAAAAAAGATTAATATACTTTTATGGTACACTTAAGTTTATTACCATGTTTACAACAGCCCGTCACCGGATCCTGTCCTGAGTCAGCTCGGATGAATCCAGTCCACATAAACATACCTATTTTCTAAGATAACATTTTAATATTATTCTCCAATCAGCCCGTAGATCTCCCAAATTATCTTCTCTCTTCTGGTTTTCCGATTAAAATTTTGTATGTATTTCTCCCCCCCCCCCCCCCCCCCCCCATGCATGCTACTTTCACTGTTGGCAAACGACTACTCGTCCGAACAAGAAAAAGCTTTTGAACGCGTATTTTTATGGATAAATTTGTCAGCCGACTTTCTTGTACACGTAAATGCGTGTTAATATTAACCAGATGTTTAAAGGTTTTACGTTTTTATCTGGATATATTTCTGTGTACTTGAAATCTGGTCGCTTCGACAGTCCGTTTTGTCTGTGCTGACCAAGCATCTTTGCTGTCGCACTAAGAAGTTGCAAAATGGCAGTCAATATCGAGCAGAGTGATGGGGCAAGCAGAGATTGTAAACTCAAAGTGTACTTTTTAAGTTGGCGGGAAGGAGCAGAGAAACGCTCTGTAAAAATGTCAGTGGATAGAGAGTGGACTTGTCCTCGTATTGCGATGCTGATTCCAGGCGAACAGCGTGAAAATGTGTACTCCCATGAGTATAAAGCTTCAACTGGCGTTCTTTGCAGTTTTAAACTCGTCATTTTTGTTTGATAGTGCATTATAATCAACGAACTAGTCACTACGATGCGTAAGAGTACAATGCTGACAGTGGACTTTTACTTCACGATATAGAAGAATGTGTTTTTGCTATCGTTCAGAATTTGTTATCTTGGCTCTTTCAATAAGTCTTAAAGATTAAAATATACACGACTATAATTTTGCCTATTTTTATGGGTTTTCAATCCAAAGGGAAGAAAACAGATGAGGGTTTTTGAGAACAGGATGCTGAAGAATATTTGGACCGACACTGGAATGAACAAATGACTGGAGAAAATTACATTGTGAAGATCTTTGTAATTTTTATTCACAAAATAATACGAGTATTAAGATGATATAATTAAGGAGAATAAGTTGGCTGATGCCCCACTTAATGGTACCTGCACCTTAAATTTTGATCAGCAAATTTGATGTGAAGAGATCACTTGGATGATGTAGGCTCAGTTGGGGGGAGAGTGTTGGAGTGCTCGAGGGTGTGGAATGGATTCATCTGACTCAGGATAGGGCCCAGTGGCATATCTTGTGAACTGAACAGTTTCTCACTGATACAGGTACTGGAGAGTAGTGACAGGATTAACAAAACATGCATACGTTCTGATATCACATAACGTTTTCATCACACAAAATAACACATGTATGCAGGCTGCACAAAACACATGGGTGGCCCAGGACTTTGGTATCCGTGGTGTAGACTGCTCAATTCTTTTTTGGTAATTTTGTTGATCAAATCTGCAGACAGAGAGACAGGTAGACATGGCCTTCCCATTATTAATTTATCATTTATTTAAAGAGCGTGTGAAAATGACAGTTTGATGAAAATCATCTTTCAAAATACCCAGTAAAAACGATTTGTTTTGGTAGGGTGATGTTTTACGGAAAACATTACTTCACGTCTGTTATGTTCAGAACATATTACTCACAAATTACATTGAAATGAGTCTTCATTTGATTCATATCTTTAATCGAGATTACTTTGCTTTCAGTCATCTAACCCAGACATCTTCTTGGCTGCCACCAGTCGAGACCTGGGTCGATGCAAGTGGTGGTTTTCCCTATGGCTGGGAAGAGGCAATAGACAGCGATGGCAAACCGTATTTTATCAAGTAAGTTTATGAACATCTATTTACGAGGATAATGTACATTGGACATCACAGTTTCTTATCTCACATTCACTGTCTATTGGTGCTAAGATCAAAATAGGCTTAGGTTATGATGCATGTATACTAATTATGTAGTAATTATGTAGGACTCTGTGGCCTCTTATATCTTCCACTTTGTTTTTATACACATTTGCACCTTTAAACACCTTCACGATAATATATTGTTGCTCATTATGTTTGTGGAATTTATAGTAGGGCTGCAGGACTTTGTTTGATGTCTGCCATTAATGATGAAATCAAAACCAGGGCACAAAGGCATTATTTTCTCAGATTAATGTCATAAACTATACCTAAAATATTTTAATTTTATTATTGTGTTTTTAAATATTGTGTTTTACAGGCAGTTTGAAATGTGAGAATTTTCCAGACCTGAAAATATTTTATATATAAATATAAATTTGCTTCATTGTGGTGAAGGAATGATAGGAAAGTTTAAATGATGCATGCTGAGGTGAATTGTTTGTTTTGTGTGCAGTAAGCGTGATAGATGCACACTGTGTTGTAATGCGTAGAGTGTCGAAACTGAAGAACGGTGCATTTCTCTCATTGTTTTCGAAATGTCGTAAGTTCTGTGTGTATAAATAAAGTTTTGAGTGTGTTAGTAAGTCATGCTGTTTGTTATATGTGTAATGAAATGTATTATGGTAATGCCGTTACTCAGAAGTTATTGGAGATATCAGCAGATTATGTGGAAGGAATGAAAAGTTTATTTTCGGTACATACGTATAGTTCTACTTGCCTTCTGCTTGATTAGGTTAAAATTTTCAGAAAAATTCTAGCTGGGAATTCCATCTTTGAATCTTTATTAGATGGTGGGCTCATGCGTGATTATGACTATTTATTTGGATATGGAACAGAGTGAAGAGGAAGAAATATTCAATTTATGACTAAATTATATAAGAGTTCATCAACTGTTTTTGCATTTCGGATCTGAGAGCTGTCTTAAAAAAATCTGATATTGTCTGCTGTTTGTGATGGTTAACCACAGTGATATGAGAGAAAATACATTTGTCTGCTTTCAATCCCAGTCCTTCAGCTGTACAATTGCTCAATTGGTCCTGTATCTGTAGGAAGTGCCTTTGGTATTGAAATATCAAAATTCCCTTCAGCCTTCATCACATATCAGATGATTGCACTTCTCAAATACTTGATTAACGAGGATTTTTTGAAAAGAGGAAAAGTCTGAGATGGCCATCTTTACTGAATACGAAGGATAATCAGCAGTAGAAATGTGCCATGATGGGCCAAGAATCCCAGCACAGATTTTTTGTATATGTACATTTCCATTTTGTATATAAATGTAGAAAATCCAAGTGAAATTATTGAATTTGAATGATGTAGTCTTCTAAAATAGGAAGGCCAAAGCCCGCCCCGGGCTGTAGCACCGAGGAAGGAGAAGAAGAGTTTCCTAAAATGGGAGAAGAGTCTTAACACTGTGCTACTTCTTTCAGTCCTAGGAGTTTGTAGTTTGGTGCTTGAAGCAGATAATCCTTAACAACATTTGTTGCAAATTCTCTGAATTTTTGTAGGTAAATGTTGAACCCAGACATAAATCAGAAAGCAAATTACAAGTAGCAGAAATGCATTTTCTGAGTTGGTCAAAGGATGTGCAAGACAAGAACATTTCAGAAATGAAGACATTAGAAGTAAATTGGAAATAGAGCCAGTAACACAGAAAATGATAAAATACAGAGACAAATCGAAATCACACATAGAACAAATGCTAGAGGAAAGAATACCAAAAACACCCTGGAATACCGACCTAAGGGATACCAATCTATAGGGCACCCCAGGAAATGATGAAGGAAAAATGAGAGACCGGAACAGGCTGTGTCCTAATCCATGAAAGAAGAAGAAGAATGTGGAATAATGGAGTTTCAAGCTTCTATTTTCTGCAATACAATCCAGTAGACTAGTGGTAGAAAGAATCATCAGTTTATTCACTGGATAAAGCAGTGCAATTGGCATCATGCTTGGCAAACACACGACTGTTATCCAATGCTGTTTTGAGGTGGACAGCACTGATCACTGGTTGGAGGGGCTTTAAAATCTAGTTTAAGGTAGTACCTTACAATTAAATACAACTGCTACCTCCGAAGGTCGTACTTAACGGTACAGTTACATTCATAAGCTTAGCAGCATCTAACGAACTAAGTCTGCTAATAGAACCAGAAAGTTCAACACTGCCCTACTGTTTGACACCGCTGAATCAGTTCACCTTAAGATCCATCTTAATATTACTTTTTGATACTCTTGTTTGTCTTAGGCAAGTGGCCACCTTCAAAGAGGTTCTTCTCCCACTGTCAAACTTTTGTATACATGTCTTGTTTTCTTCATTCAAGCTGTTTGTCCGTACCCCTGTAACTACATTAACAGTGTTGTGTGAGATGTATGAATCACAAAGTTTCTTATTAAGCAGTATCTTCCATTCCTTTCATGTGGTCTGAAACTTCTATCTGTATGAGATTTGAGCTTTTCACAGTGTTACAAATTTGGTTTCCTGGGTATGGAGCTGTGTAATCTTGTAGGTGATAACCAAATCTCGGTATTTTTCTGGTTTATGAAATGTAAGACAGTCAATAAAAATATGGGCTTTTAATTTAAAAAGAATTGTTACATAAATGTAATGATTGTAATTAAATTGATATTTAGATTTCAGCCACTTTATGTATAAATATATTCCCCCTGGTGTATAAGGAAACTCACTCTGGATAGAGATTGATTCTATACACCATTTTACTTCCAATTTTCTTTGTATAAAACACTCTCATATAAACCTAACAGAAAAGAATAATGCATGAAAATGCAGACTCCTGGTGTATGTGATACAGAGTATAGTGTGTTGCTGTCCCCAAACTAGAACAAGGTGTACATAATGTATTTGGTTAACAGTGCTTGTCCTTTTTTCCAGCCACATGGTTTCATTCTCACTATGGATTGTGATTGTACATGTGTACTTATTCTACCCACCCAATAAGAGTTATCTGGTAATAGAATTTTGAGGTTAAGTTTGACTGCAAGCATGGTACATTTAGTTCATTATAATTGTATTATATAGTAATTGCAAATTCGTAAATTCTTTGTATAAAGAATATCTGGAAATATTTGATTATATAATATTTTAATTCATATTTCCTTGAGATAACTATTCATTTCACTGTTATGGACAGAACAGTTCTACAATGCATAAAAGTACACATTGATTCTTAGACACAGTTTGAATATTTGAAGGTAAAACTGTGTGCATGTTTGTGTGTGCTCATATACAGATTAAATATATAGTTTTATTGATGGTTGAATAATAACAAACACACAGTCAAGTGATATTTTTCTTCTCTAACAGTGGAATAATTAATATACAATTTTTTGACTTGAAATGTGCCATGTTGAAAGTTAAGGAAATTTGCTTGAAGCCAGTCCAATCCATAGCAGGGAAACCTGTGTGGTGTGATTGTGTTGGTGTCACTGTAGGTATTGGGCGCACGCACATGGTGATGTCTAGAGTAGACGGTGTCAAGCGACAGCCTTGCGCCAATCAGAATGCCTTTCGACACTTCTTTCTTCACAAACCAAGGTAGTACACTTGTCACCAGGATGGACTCTCAGTTTCCAGTTGTATTAATGTAAAGGAAATTAGTAGTGTTCACAGTTATGTTGTTCTCTGACCAACTAAAGTGATGAATTATAGGGCTGTCATCATTCATGATCAATTATTTTCTTTAGTTACTTAATCAGTTCAGAAATGTTACCTTGTGCCATTCATATTTTAAAAATTTTCAGTGTTCTTTGTACACATTCTTCGATCATTTATTATGGCTCTTAACTTTAACTTCAAGTAATTATATAACTGATATAACATGTGTGTTATGTATTACTAGTTAATTTTTCATGTTTTTCATAATGAAGTTAAACATAATCATGAAAATCATTTGGATTTGTTGCTTGGTTTTTATTTGTCCATTCTTCATGTTTTCATAAAATGGTCTAAAGTACAATGAATTAACCGAATCCAGATTCAAAATTCAAATTCTCTGCTTATAATTTACTCTCTAATAATTGTGTCTGATTTTTCCATGATAAAGTATCTTAAATAAATTAACCAATTCTTTAATCACAAGTAATTTTCTGTAGTATGATAATCAGGACAACATCCATAATGACATTAAATATTTTAATGCAGAATGCAAACTTTGTCTTCAAACATTAACTAAATTTTTTAAGAATGCAAAATGCACATTTTCTGTTGTCAGTTTGTTACAGTTCACTAAACTTGTCATGGGACCAGTAATCTTATCCATTGGCATTTTTTTTGACCAACTGGTATGTTTCTTGGACAAACCTTTTTAAGTTTTTGATTTAAAATTACATTTATATTGTCAGTGTAGTTATTTTTCATGTTGTGAGTAAGAGATGACCCTGAGGATGATCCAGTGTGGTTGAAACATGTTGGGTCTATAATAATGATATATAATTGTTGTAATTGGACAGTTATTGCATATATAATTAAAGTATATTAGAGCAGTATGCATTTCAGTGTGAAAATGTATTTCTGTTAACCAGAGTTGATTGATTAGTGGTAAGTGGTTAATTCATTGACGATGTTTTACCACTTCATATCCATTGTAAAAGATTGGTGGTACAGAAGGACAAAATTTAAGACAGAATGTTCTTAAAATAAATGGATCTAGTTTTCAGTTGCATTTAATTAAACTTTAAACCATTATGTATAACTGTCATGTCAGAGACTTACATTTGTAGTGAAATGCTGGAAACAGAGGGACCATAGAAATTTAACATATTAATGCTGATGCTATGTTTTGTTATTGTTTTCTTTGTTTTTGTACAAATAAAGCAGGGTGCAGTGCCAAAATATGAATGTAACTTAATCTACTAGCTTTGTATTTTATTTATCAGTGCATTTTAATTTATATTCATAAATATGATGCAAGTATATGTTACGAACTCCATCATAGAAATGACTGGCAAAAGACAGTGTTTGAATCCTAGTATGGGCATTTGGATTTTTGTTTCCAATACTGTGTCCATAATAGCTTTAGAGGCCAACTACTCTATTATCCAATTGGTGTAGGGCCATGAAGCATGAAGCTGCCCACTTACTTTAATCCAATTCCAAGGTTTAGAAAACATGGAGCTTTACTTGTGTGCCCCTACTATGCCTCCACCGCCACGGTGGTCTAGCGGTCAGAACACTAGCCTTGTAAGCCTGGGGTCCCGGGTTCAATTCCCGGTGGTGCTCAAATTTATAACTTGTGTTGGGCAAGGCCGTGGTCTAGGCATCACGGAGTTTTCCTCCGGGGGCTTACCCGATTTCTCCGTGGCATCCCATTCACACACTGAAGAAGGCAATGGCAAACCACTTCTGGATCATCTGCCATGAACGTATATGAACAGGTCCCAGTCCGAGAAAAGGATGGAAGGATCCTGTTCATATGGACCTGTCGTCAGACAGAACACTACAAATAAAGAAAATAAACTATGCCTCCATGGCATGGTGCTTAGGCACAGGGGCTTATTAAGTAAGAAGTTTTTATTTGATAATGTGTACTTCTGTATAATTATTGTCTGTTTTTAGTTAAGGTACACATATTTTTAGTTCATTTGTAACAGACTTTTGTCAGAACTTTCTTTTGAGGTAATGTTCCATATCTTGTGTACTGCTCATGAACCTCTGTTCTTGAAAGGAGGTTATATATTCATTTCCCAATTTGAGAGACATTTCTTCATATCTGCTAGTGCAGAAGAGTTAAGTGCATTGTAATGGCGTCCTTAATTGTCTGTGTTGGTTCAGATTACATCCTGGTTTGTATGTATTTTTTTTTTTTGCTCAGCTGAGTTTGAATTACTTTCTAAAGGAATGTGATGTATTGGCATGTTGCATGTTTTCCTTCGTTTGAGGTATATGTCTGTATATTACTTCTTATCTTTCTGTTGTCTGTATAGTTTTGATTCTGTTGAATATTTATTATGCTGTGTGATGAGAACAGATTACTGTATTTATGTGAATATAATCTGTATTACATTTTGCTAATTTGGAACATGACTGCTGATTAAATGACACATGAATGTGAAGTGTGTGAATTAATTTATCATGTGTTCTTTGCATAAAGTGTATAAAATGAAAGCCTAATGCTTTGATCATATAATTTTTCTGTCTATGTGTATAGTCCTTCACCAAAACTAGGATTTTTATTAACTTTTGTATTGCGAGTCTGCACTAAATGTTGCCAACATTTATTTTAGTTTATATCATTTCAGTATAACATCAATTTAACATGAAGCATTAATTGAGCTATAGCAAATTTCTTATCAGTAGCTTGACATATAAAATATTTGTATAGACCTATGAAATAAAATAAGTAACCCATTAAGATCTATAACTTTTATTTGAAACACTTCTATTTTATATTAATAAAGAAATTAAATGAAAAATAATTTGTCTGTCCATGCATTTTAATATCTGTGCTATTAATTATCTTTGTCATCAGTGGAGTATATGTTTCTACACAATGTAGTATCTCTATACTGTTATATGAATAATACCTCTGTATCTGCAATAAATGAATGTAATATGTCAATAGGGACTGAAAAACACAAAAACATTTTAGAAAATTAATAGTTTTGTATGAATCTTAATGCTGTTCAGCTCAGGTTAGCTGTTAAAGATGAATGCCATGTGATTCAGTACATTATCATTAATATTATTCATACTGTCAAAATTAATTAATGTTATAGATAAAAATATTGTCATGCTACATTCAAACTTTTAAGTAACAAATAGTTTTCAGCCTGAAGTTTAGCTATGATTTTCAACCTCAGTCGTGCGTTTGGTTTCATCTGACCTGGAAAAAATAGTTTTTGTCTGAAGGGAATTTTTGTTTTCACTCTGACTCTTTTTGTTTATTTAGTTGGAATGAGATTGATCAATTTAATTATTTGCATGACATTTATTATGTACAAGCAGGTTAAGAACAGCTGATTATGATGGTAATAATTAATAGTAAACTTCCCTACCTTCAATGGCCTTGACTGACTCAGGATAACTTCGGAGGACATGGATTCCTTTTCGAAAGTTGTTCTCTCCGAGTCCCTCTATACGCTCCTTCAGTTTGGCCCTAACCTTTTGAATCACCCTGTATATAAAAATAAAATGTAAGGATTGAGGTGTGTCATTTATTGTAGAAATGAATCTCTTTCTTTGAATTTCGTGTAACAATGGCATTTACAAAGGGATTTCTTTTCTTTAACTTGACTAGAAATATTAGTGCCTGACACCTAGATGTTAATGAAAATTGATTTCATGTAAATATTTAAAAGTTGCGGTACTAACTTTAAACAGAATATGCACAGAAAATACTTTGAACTGAAATATTTTGTCAAGATATGTTTGTTTTGTACAGAAGTATATTATTGGATGTACAGATATAATGACTGTATTTTCAATTTTTCAGTACAGTATAATCCACTTGTACAATCCATAAAGAAATATTGTCTTAACTCTGTGCATGCAATGAATGAGTTTTCTCAGTGTGAAAATACTTCTCTCAGTCTTGTTTGCAAATTCAAATTGCTTGTGATGTGTTCTCAGTGGAAGTTATGTCTAAGTTACGATGGACAAGGCAACAAAGAGAACCACGCGTTCTTGCTAAATAAAACTCAGTATTGAAAGGTATAGTTTAGTGAGATACATATTTTTCACTAACAGACTTTTGGTTCATTTAAATGTCATACTGACATCTATTCATGTGTATGAGATTTTGATCGTGTCTGGAAATAAGTATTACTCCTGATTACTGATGGAATTTTTGTTGCCAGTAAGGGCATAACCTGACTTAAGAAACCATATATAGATGAAACAAGATATGTGGTTTAGTAGGAACTTAAAAAAAGTCAGTATTCAGTTATGTTTACATGTAAGAGGCAAAGTTGATTAAAAGTTTTATGGTTACTCTGTAGATAATAACAGCTTGTTAATTGTGAGAGGAATAATTCTGAATGTCTCTGTCATAGTCACCTCAACAAGACCACCACATATGAGGATCCTCGGAAGGACTGGACGGAAGAGCCGCCACAGCCAAGACAGGTGGAACTCACACGACACCCAGAATTGGGCTTTGGATTTGTGGCAGGCAGTGAGAAACCTGTCATTGTGAGGTATGATTTCAAAGGAATCTTTATGTTTTCAGTTGATTCCTGGTATTACAGGTGTAATTTGAATAGTGCATTGTTTCAAGACATGAACCCTGTTCAATACTGTATTTTGATACTCTGTTGTTTTTGTATAAATGAGTTTCACATATGTGTGTAACTGCGTACTAACATTTGTCACTCCATGTGGCTGGCTTGCTCTCTGTGTGCAAGTTTCAGAGCTATTGTGATTTAACAGATTTATATAATATCTCAGTGATTATAGTCACTGGCTATGGACTTGACGACCGGGATTCGATCCCCGATGGGAGTAGAGGATTTTTCATCTGGCATCTGCATCCACACCGGCTCTGGGACCCACCCAGCCTCCTATCCAATGGGTACCACAGTCCTTTCCCAGGGGTAAAGCGCGGCCAGGGCGTGACTGACCACTCACCCTCATCTAGTGCCAAGGTTGAGAATGAGTAGGGGCTATTCCCCCCCACCCCCACCCTCAAGCACCTACATGGCATATGGTGGGACAGCTTTAGTTCTTTAACTTTATGTAATGTGTTTTGTATTCAATTAATGTTTAAAAAAATTACTTTTGGAGTCAGTAAATTATAAACATGGCTTCTGGGTTGTAGCATCATGTAGTCTGGTAGAAGTTTACCAACAGTTTTGAGGTAATTATTGCCTCCATCATCAGGGCGCCGAGTACTCATCACCCTGATAATGGAGGCAGCAAGTACCTCTGAAACACTGGCAAATTTTTACCTGACTACATGGCACAGCATCCCAGAAGATCTTTTACATTTGTGAGACCTTTCCATAAGTGAAAAATAATGTTAAAATGGATCTTAGAGTGTTGTGTTATGAACATATGAACTGATTGATTAGGTTCATGACAGGTTTAGAAGTTGAGTTTTGTGATTATGTTTATGAAGGTCCCCCCCCCCACCAGAATAGTAGGAAATATCATGACCAGTTCAAAAACTAAAGTGATCAAGGAAATATAACCCTGTGCTATGCAGTCACACTTTATTTTGTCATCTAATTGCCACATTTGTCAATAACCACAATTAGAACAGAATTTTAAATATAATACTACTTATAATTATATACCAAGATGATAGTTACTGAGTTGTGCACTGTCGCAGGTTTGTAACTGAGGGTGGACCGAGTGTGGACAAATTGCAGCCAGGAGACCAGATCCTCGTCATAAATGGAGAGGACGTGAAGAAGGCTCCTCGTGATCATGTGATTCAACTAGTGAGATCGTGCAAGGAAACTGTGAGACTCACAGTTTGTCAGCCTCCTCTTGACAATGTAAGTCATTTAGGTTTATTTTTGAGAGAAGAAACTCTTCCCTTTTATGCACAGTTGTGTGTATGCTCATGCATTTGCAGATAAAGAAAGAATGTTTATACTTAAAATGATTAGTGAAAATGTCCATTGGAGCATAGTTCATTAGTCTAATGGTATGTGGGAAAGTAGGTTTTGTTTATAATAAATGTTATTTTTCTGTATTATTGAGCATAGATGTTGATACACGAGTCATACTCATCTTGTTGAACTGTTCCTGGTCCATTCTGTTTCTGAACTGTCTACAGGTAACTAGTCTCTCTCTCTGTTACAAAAGTAAAAAACTAAATCAGATGAGGGGAATTTTCTGTTACAAGATGATGAAATTTGACAGTCTTTGAATGCTCTGTATGTAAGTAAGTGACGATATTTGATATTAATTATGTTATTTTGTTGCAGTCGGCCCGCAAGTCAGCACTGCTGAGTGCAGCCAAGAAAGCCAAGCTCAAGTCAAATCCATCTCGAGTTCGATTTGCTGAAGGAGTTGTTGTGAATGGCTCCCCACTTTTTCCCGTAAGTAACAGAATTGTGTCAATTTGTGTCATCTGTTATTGTTAGCATGATTGAATTATGGGAGGTGAGTGGGTGGGAAGACATAGCACACATGAGACTCTTGTAATTGTCTTTTTAATTTCTTTTCCAATCATTTTTACTGCATTTCTAGTGGGAAAACAACAAATGCATAAATAATTTTTGTGGTAGAATCTCAAGGGAATAGACCATTTATGAGACCTGGTTGTACGTAGGCATTTAGTCTGGTCTGAGGCTAGCTAAACCTGGGGGCCCAACAGCTAGGATTTCTGTCCTTCCCTTTTTATCTAAAGCCAAGAAGATCCAACATCTAAAACGTAATTTTATCGAAATATAGACAATGGACAAAAGTCCAAAATTCCACATTTACAGATTATAATTCACCATTGTCAGACCTTCAGACTTCATCTGTTTGTAAAGGGAGAAACTTTGGAAACCACTTTGCTACTGCTGTTCTGAGGTAAAGGGAAGATATAAACGTATTTGTTCTTCCATTCTATCTGACTGGACAGAATAAATTATCATTATGCAGTCCATGGGACTACAGTTTGTTTCCTTGTGCTACACCAAATACTGGAATGTCTTATTCTCAGCTGATGATAAGCCTGTGATCGGATAATGATTCCCAAATTTTATCTTTCATTAAGCCTTTTCTTAAGAAATGATAATGTGAGAACCTCCATCTAAAATCATATTTTTCCATTATGATTCTGTCTGTTGTCTGCATGCATACTTGCCTTGTTCCTTTCCCAATTTGCTTGTTCTTCGCACATTGTTTCACAGATGTCCCATCTGAAAGTAAAGGAAGTTGCTGTCTTCAGTAGTACTAGTTATCAATTTTTACCATGTAAGACTTGAGGTTCTCACAGCGGTGAGTATGAAGACCATGTTTGATACTTTCAGCCATCAACATTCTCACTGGGAGATTCTTCTGTGCCATTTATGCCAAATGTACTGAAAGTATTCCTTGAGAATGGACAGACCAAGTCATTCAAGTATGACTCGAACACGACAGTCCTTGATGTGATGGAGTCCCTGCAACAGAAACTTTGCATAAAAGCAACGGAACACTTCTCGCTGGTCGTGGAGCATGTTAAGAGTTTGAGAAGAAACAAACTCACTCTTCTCGATCCTCAGGAGCCCCTTGCAAGGGTAAGTCAAGTTGGGATATGGAAATGTCAACTGAAATAAAAATTTGTTTGCTCTTTCCAAATATAGTTCCAGACTTAATTTATCCAACCTCCTATTCAGACAGATGTGTGAAGATGACAGCTTATGTGAGATTTGAGGTTCTCTTGGTAGTGAGTATGAAGGTGACTGTCTTTTGGGAGGTTGCGCTGTATAGTCTGGTAGAAGTTTCCATAGCACATTATTCCAGAAGACAGTGATCTCGTGACAGCATATATTCATATAGTTCTGAAACTGAGAATGCATTGAGATTTACCTCTGCATGCCATATAAACCTGTAGGTTCAGAATAACTTAAAATTCTCAGTATTAATAAAAATTAATGAAGATTTATTCTATTTTGTATGTGCTAACAAAAAAACTTTCCTCAGATGTCTATTACATTCCCAAGAAGTTATAATTTAATATTATATACTGTTAGAAATACTACAAAGAGTGGGAAATATCTTAGTTTATGATATTATAATTTTAAATTACAGATAGCTGCAAGGCCTGGCTCACACAATTTGCGGTGTCTCTTCAGAGTTGCATTTGTTCCAAAAGATGCATGTGACCTAGCACAAAGGGATTTGGTAGCATTTGAGTACCTCTATATGCAGGTGAGAAAACACAAGAAAAATGTTGGTGTTTTTCATATCAAGTGTTAACAATAATATGATACAGTAATGCTATTCACCAGAATTGAATTATGAAAATAGCTGATAGATACTGAAGATTCTAATAATAATGTTATGATATGTCTTGTAATTTTCAGTGTTGCAATGATGTGGTGCAGGAACGCTATGCTCCAGAACTAAAGTATGACATTGCGCTGAGGTTAGCGGCACTTCACATACACCAGCATGCCATATCTAACAATATGACAAGCAAAGTGACAGTGAAAGCTATTGAGTAAGTAGAGTTAAGAATTGTATCATTATTTCGCTTACGCGAGCTCAAAATGCTCTTGTTTTTAACAAGACATTGATGTTTGATAGGCGAGAATTTGGCTTGGAGCGGTTTGTGCCAGTGTCACTAATGAGCACAATGAAGAGGAAAGAGTTACGGAAGCTGATTGGCCACTTCCTGAAGTTAAACCATAATTTGTCCCCCACTGGGCAGAAGAGTTTAACAAGCCTGCAGGCCAAGTTATACTATCTGAACATCATCAGTGAACTGCCGAGCTATGGCGCCAAATGCTTCAGCACAAATATCACGGTTTGTATCCCGATTTAACTTAAGTTGTGTTCAGGTGTTAGAAATAGACATTCTTATTTAATATTTTTGAATTATGCCCCATTATCTCTGCATCAAAATTTTCCCTCTGTCTGTATTCCTCTGTTTAGTGTTAAGGCCCATATTGATGATAGGTGGGAATGACAGATTATTTGGCTCAGGATTTGGTCTAGTGGTGGCCTTTCGTGAATAGAGTAACGAACTTTCAGTTCCACAAAAGGCAGATAATTTCTTCACCAACTGTCAGCTTCTTTAAGGACCCTGCTACATGGAGTCCATATGTTAGTTTTCAAATTCATTGCACCACAGAGAATCATTAAATGTGATTTCACTAACAACTATGGGTCATGGATCCAGAAATACACTCACTTATTACAGTGGGCAGGTTGATGGAGGTCAGTGGTACAGTATAGAAATATTTATATGAAGCATACTATGAGAATTTGAGCAGATGGATTCTTTTAAGTGGCTAATAGGTGCAAGATATTTCTAGACCCCTGCTATGGATTATTAGGGCTAAAGAAAGAAGAAATGCAAATAATAACACATGTAATCCAAAATTATCTTATTTTAAATGTATGAAACACATTATGTACCTCATAAGGTTCTTGCATCTTTTACAGGATAGCAACATGGAGAGAGTTATTTTAGTGAGTCCTAAGTTTGGTATCAGCCAGATTACAGGGCTGCGCAACAGTGTGGTAAGTCTAAACACACTGTGAATAAGTATTTTCCTTACTGAGAACAGCTACATTTTACCATTAAGATACAAAATTCTATGTCTATATTTGAACGTTAAGTTCTGGAAAGAACTTGTACTTTCTTTTAGCTGTGATGAAACTACAAAGAAATATAAATTAATATTTCCTGTTTGGTGATCAGTTTCTGTTCATATTTCCACTGGCTCAGATTCCAGCAATGCTAAATTTAGAAAATATGTGAAGTTTTTGTACCACTGCCATGTTTGTAATTATTGTTGTGTAAACTGTATATCATATAATATTTGTACACTTGTTTATAACCAACTTCATATGAAATTTAATTTACCTTGTTCCATTGTTTCATTCATGTCAGGTTTAATGTTAGATTTAACATAGTTGTTACATTGTTTGTGGACAAAAATAACCTTAACAGAAGAATAATATTTTTGTAGATCTATTACTACACAATATTTCTTGACTCTATATTAATGTTTTGCTGGTATGGAATTTACCTCAGAAGTATGCATAATCACCATGTTATTGTTGATGGGACAGAATTAGAGAATACGTAGAGGTGAGGTGATGTCTAGTGGCAGGCTTATATACCAAGAGGCTGAACTGTTGCAATGAAAGATCTGAAGATGCTGCACAGCTGTTCTTATATGTGTATATATGTGCTTGCAGCCTGTTCCACTGGCAGATATAGAACAGATGAGTCTAGTCACAGTAATACGTGAGGATGAACTGTCACGTTTTGTCCGAATACACCTTCCAACTTCAGATGAGAAGGTACTGGAGGTGATTTTCTACATCTATTTATATAATGATGACTGAATCAGTTTTTTTCTTTCTTTTCTCGTTTAGAGTACTATACCATCTCGTTGATTAAAGTTTTACATGCTCATTAAGAAATTATTTGTTGATGCTTGTATTCTGGTAGTAATGCTGTGTGAACTTGTAGGTAAATACCAATATTTCAGAGAAACATACTTTCTCCATCTTCATGGCTGCACTGAACCAAACGGTAGTGTACGGTCATCTCATTGATTAAAGTTTTACATGCTCATTAACTATACCATCTCGTTGATTAAAGTTTTACATGCTCATTAAGAAATTATTTGTTGATGCTTGTATTCTGGTAGTAATGCTGTGTGAACTTGTAGGTAAATACCAATATTTCAGAGAAACATACTTTCTCCATCTTCATGGCTGCACTGAACCAAACGGTAGTGTACGGTGCTTTCAAAATTTTCCTGTGGCTTTGTTATGCGGAGATCTCGTATTTTTATTTATTTCAAGTAAAATATTTTCATGATATTGCTAGCATGTTACGTTCATTATGGCAATAAAATGTTGGTGAAGCCATATTTTCTAACAGATTGACTTTATGTTGAACCTTTGTCTTTTATGCAACTGGATGTGAAGATCTTTATTTGGTATATTAAAATTTTGTCCTTTACAACAGCATCATGTTTTTGGCAATCCTTTTTATATTTTGTTTTAATCAATTAATTAATCCAGTTCTCTTCAAGAGTTAAAAGTTATGAACTGGCTGAAACAAATAAATTGAAATGTTACATTATTTATTTCACATTCAGTTCTCAGAAATACCTGTAGTTTCTTATTTCTTAATATGTGTACTATGAGAAATTTGTCTCCGAGTTATATATCTTGCTACTTGAAGTTGGCATTTCCCTCTTGTGATGTTCAGGAGATTGTGCTTAGCATGGAGGACCGAGATGCTGAAGAACTTGTGTTGCTACTGCAGGGCTACTACAGGCTTCTAACTGGAAAGATTCTGTCTGTAGAGCAAGACCGTGACCTCTCCTGGATTGACGATGCAGGTAAGTCACTGGTCTCTTCAGCTTCTTTCATAGCTTTGTTTCTTTGCTGTCACGATTCTGTGTTCATTTACAAAATTCTTCAATTGAGCACAATGTTGAAGTCATATGTCTGTCATCCATATATTTCATTTCCTAAGCTACTCAAAGTAGTGTGAGTCAAGTATAACCTCTGCTTTACATGAAGAAGTGCAAATTAGACTTTACTGATTTCCAAAGCAGCGACACGTGAGGACAAAGTAATTGAGTATAATAGTTAAGATATGACAGTTGATAATTCACTTTATTAGTACATAATTGTGGTATTTCAGCGCCACCATATCACTCACAGCATCAAGTGTTGCCTGCCAGATGGAGCTACACTGGCCGAGATACTGGCAAGCACCATGCTACATTCTCGATGCCTCCGCCATATCAGCCAGTACACGTGAGTTTTGTGATTTCTATGCGGTTACTTTTGAGGTTAAACATTATCACAGTTAAAGGTGAAATTAGTTTCCAGGCCATGAATATGTTTTCAAAGGCTGTCTGTGAGCTAACTTCTATTTAACTCATTTACTGCATAGACTGCATATGTGATCATTATTACTTTAATGATGGAGGCAGCAAGCACCTCTGAAACATCAGACTACGTGGCGCTACAACCCAGAAGACAGTTCTTCACACTTACCACTGTGAAAACATAAAAATCTCATTTGATTTAACAATATTCTCTAGATGTTGTTCACTCTGTGTAGTTGAGGTTATGTCTGCATTATTTCAGAGGATGGCTGTTTCCATTTCCATATTAGAAATATGGAGGGAAAGGAAATATTCCCTTGGGTTGACTAAACAACATTAGTGCATGTTACTAGGTCCATTAACATACAGAATAACATCACAAATGTTTCCTTTGTTGAGAAAGTGAGGAACAGTGTGATATGTGTATACAGCAATGTTGCTTTTGTAGTAAAATTAAGTGTTATGGAATAAATAAGGTATATTTATTGGTTGAAGACTGGACAGTTGGCACTTACTGCTGTCTGTCTAAAATTAGTTATGGTAGTTGTAAATTTTAATGTGTAACAAATCTTTGTAATCATATTTCAGCAGGTAAAGACAAATGGTCATTTCACTGCATCCCATAAAAAATCAGGCTCATTGGATGCCAACAGTAGACCTACTTTTGAAGTGGACAGCAACATGAACACTATGTAAGTTACATTGTTAATGTGTTAGGCCCTACGAAACTGTTTAAAGGCGCATCTTTGTTCCACATTTTTATGATGCTCTCCCAGGTTAATTCTAGCTCATGACAGAATGCACATTTAAAAATTGGCAGCTGTTATGAGTCATAATTTCAAATTCCTTGAGTAATTTGTATGTTGTCAGTTACAGTTCTCTCACCATTCTTGCCTCTGTCAGCCTGGCAGGAATAAAGAAATACATATGTCCTAGGGAGCCCACAAGTGAATATACCACATATAAAATATAAATGCAGAAGTTACTGTGGCAGGTGTTTATTAACCTGTTCGCTAGTGAATACACTACAGCTGATTTACTTAATTGTTTTAAAAGGACTGGAGAAAAGAGTGCAGGTTTTTGAACTTCTGCCGGATGAAAAAATGGCTGATTCAACATCTGATCCCTGTTGTAGGCTGGTGGTGAAGGTGGTGGCTTTCCCTCTCTTTCACCTCCCAGACCTCCAAAGAGTGAGATTTCAAGCAACTAATGGCTGTGTTGTGTGCTCTAACTGCAGGTCAGGTCTGCTGAATGGGAGTGCCAGAGCAAGGGACTACAATGGCTATCTGGATGACAACAGACGTGCAGCAGTTGCCCAGAAACTACTAGATCTGAGCTCTGCAACTTTTGATCTTCAGAGTGTTGTCTCGATGGAGATTCTTGAAAGTGATCTGGCTTATGTTGAAGCCAGAAATGAAGAGGTTAGCACCTTGCAGTGACATATAGTGCTTAATGTCTTGAATACTAAACAAAGTTCTGTGGCGATATCATGCTTTTGACAGAACACACATGTTGCACTGTATGTAATTACTGCCTGGAAAATGTGTCCTGTAATTTGTATCACTACTACTTCAGTTGGTGCCACAGTCCTTGGTGGACCCTGCCTTCCTTATAATTTGTATTACTCCATATGAAAGTATTTGGAAAACATTTGCATTGTTTGCTTCTTTTCCACTTTCCTTTAACTTCACTTCAACACTCTTCATCTTCTTCACCTTCAGCCTCTATTCTTATTTTCTTTATTATCATTAATTTTCTTCTTTTACTGTATCTTCTTTCTTTGTTTCTCCATCATATTCCATATTCTTATTCATGTCCTCCAAACTCAAGTTTATAGGTTCCTGTTTTCATATTCCATAATGCCAATTATTCTGAGGTGACCAACATGAAAAATAGTGGCTAGTTTTGGATGCTTCTGCTTGTCTACTGTCACGTGCCCTCATGAGCCAATCAGCCTCATACATTTAGTATATTAAGTATTTATTTACTTCAAGTGTGAAGCAGATGCCATTTGTATATAGACAGTCCTCTTACTTCAGGTTAATACAGATTTATTTTGTAGCCACTGTATTTTTTCCCCCGGACATTTTTCATTTAGTCCCCAGTGAATTAGTTGTTTTGGCAATCTGTATGTTCCAACTCTTTCTGCATGCTTGTACCATTACCTTTTGTTTCTTATCCTCTGCAGTGTGTCTTCTTTTACTTCTGTTGTCTGTCTTACATTTTGAGCCAATTCTACCTACAATTTTATACACATCTAAAAATGTATTTCTCTTTATGTCAGTTGAGCTGTCATCTCTAGTTTAGTATCAGAATTCTGCCATAAGCTAATATACTTTCAGATATTAAATTATATGATAATTTCATATACGCTTCTATAATTGTTACAGGTCTTGCGGAGAGTTGCAGAAATGCAGGAGTTGGTGCAAAATTCTGAACAGTATCTAACCCAGCAACAACAACATCAACATCCAGGTCTGCAACATCACCAGCAGCTTGGCAAGGAGGAAAGTGACTCTGAGGGCTCCCATATATCGTCGCTAGATTCAGATGCACCTGGTCAGCTGAAGCACAGTGACTCATTACTACTGCTCACGCAGGTAAATCGCACAGCGCTTACCATCTTTCCTTTATGATCCCATGTCTACATAAAGTATAGTGACAGTGAAGGCTGGTTTTGCGTTAATCATTTTGTAATCACAAAATTTACTTGGTAATTACAATGTTGCTCAAAGATCTAGAAAATTTTGCATTGACTTCTCATATAGGTAATTGTGCTTGCAGGGGCAGAAGCTGATAAGTGAAGCAGTGAATGACGCGGTACGTGGCATAGATCTGGGAGATAATGAACCATCTGAAAGTGACACAGATTCAGTGAGCACTCCTACAAACAGTCCTTCTCACCGACCAGGTAACGTGTAGTAAATGATTTTAAGGAGAGAACATGACTCATTTTAAGTGCTTGCTGCCTCCATCATCAGGGTTATCCCTGCCCCAATGATGGAGGCAGCAAGGACCTCTGAAACGTCGGTAAACTTCTACCGGACTACATGGCACAGTAACTGAGAAGACAACCATTTCCCAGTTTGTTCCTATTACAATCACAAGTATGAAATTAAGTTTTATTTTCACTATTTTATACTTGAGGGGAGTAAAGTTTTGAACATTTGAATGCTGTTTATTGCGTGAATGCTTTAGTTATCTATTAATCCTGTAGCAACTTATGTGTTTGTTTAGTACTGGAATAAATATTAGAATGATCACAAATGATGAATTAGAAGTGAAATGAGAAATATAGGAGAGGAACTGTTGTCACCTATTTCATGGTTACTATACCGAAAATTGGGCTATTTAATTTTGCTAATGACATTTTCTCATATCCGTATGTAGTTGTTATTTATCATGTCACAGTTATCTTGAATTAGGTAGTGAGTGGAATTTGTTTAGCTACATTTGTGACTCATGTTCCACAACTTAATCTTTAAGAAATTGGTGTGTTAAGTGAAGGTAAAGTTGGCATTAAGAACTTAGGGACCTCAAGAAATGCATCAGTGTTCTACCCCTTGCACTCAACAAAATGAGTAATGTGTATAGTAATATCTGGATTTTCACACTTGTTTCTCTTTTATAATTTTTTTAAAAAACAACACTTCATTACACATTTAGTAATCTTATAAGACAAACATGAGAAATGGAGTTTTAGAGGGTGGAACTGAATTCTATTAATAGGAAGCAAAATGTGATATTTATATCTTAATTTAAACCATAGTTCAGGAAAACCACATATAAAGGCAAAGGGGCCCAACAGACTTGAATTTACAAAACATATTATGAAGGAAAGTCAACATCTTGGATCCAGGTTAAGAATCAGCAAATGTTGCCATATAAGACCAAAATATATAATGCACTGATTAACATTGTAATGAAATGAGGTTGTGTTGACAGTAATTTTATTATTTGTATGAAACCCCTAAAACTGAATGTTTTTACTTTTCTATAGTTTTAAATTAAATATGTCTAAAAAATGTTTATTTTGTCCATGTGCATGCAACTTGTAGTGTTCTAAAGCACAGTGGTTCTCAAGCGTCTTCAAAAATGTACAAGAATGTGTTCTGTGAATTACACAATAGGATTAGTGTGATTTATTATGTAGAAGTTTATTAAATAGAAACTCATTTTCTTCAGTTATTAGATCATCTATTCAGGATACACAGAAAAAAGCCCATGATTGGAATGAAACTTAATAACTGATTACTGCTGACATTTCTGTGTTCACAAAGAGAGCTTGTGGCTGTAATTGAGAATCACTGTTCATTAAGTTAAACTGGATCTTATATAACCATGTTGTATAGGGAGAGAGCACAGTGGGTCATACAATGGCAGCTCTGTCGCAAAGCCCAGTGGTTCCAGCTTTGGACTGCACAGTCCCGACAGCCTGCTGCCAGTTGGGTTCTGCCCCAGTGACCGCAATATCCAGGTACACACTCCACATTGAGTGAACGGGATGAAGGAAAACCACCCTGGTGATTATAATTTAAAATGAAACTGAAACATTAGGCCTCTGTTCTGAATTGACGTGACTGGTCATCCAAGAGGACTTTTTTGCATCTTCTATTTATTGTCAGTGTAATTAAATGAAAGACACTATGATAAGGTGGACATATTTGAGTAGAAATACATTTTGAATTTTAAAGGGAAACCTCATGGAAAGTAGCCACATGGAAGCCAAAAAAATAAATGGGAAAATAATATTAGAATACATATTGTAAAGATGTGATCTGGATTGAACTCACTCAGCATCATGCTCAGTGGTGGGTTTTGATATTAGCGGTTTTTAACCTTCAAGTTCTGTTACCAAGGAATCAGGTTTATTGTGACATGTGTCTCGTGAATCACGGACCATAAGGGAGGACAGAAGAAGAGATGAACCAATTCTGAAATACATTTCATGGACCGGAAGTCTTAATCTTTTAACTCTTATGTATGAAAAAATATGTACATGTATCAGATAAAGGTGCCACATATTAGTGAATATATAATGAAAGGATATCAGATTTTATTCACCACTATAAACTAAATTGGAATGAGTATCTTGAAGGAATGAGTTGTTGTAGTGTCAAAATGATTTTGGTAGCAACCCATAATAAAAACTATATTTAAATCTATTTTAAGAATATGTGGCTGAGAGGGTGTGGGCTGGGTTCCGTTAGCTCAGGATAGGGACCTGTGGTGGGGTTTTCTGAACACAGTAACAAATCTTTAGTTTCCGTAAACAGGTAGGAATTTGAAGATTTATGTCTTCTGGGTTGTTGTGCTGTGTAATCTGGTCAATGTTTACCAACGTTTCAGAGGTCATACTACATATTCATCACTCTGATGACGGAGGCAGTATGACCTCTGAAACGTTGGTTAACATCGACCAGACTACACGGCGCAACAACCCAGAAGACAGCAATCTTCATACTCACTGCTGTGAAAACCTCAAATCTTACACAGGTAGGAATTTCTTGATAGTAGATAAAGGTGTCCCAAAAGGATGTATACACACAACTATTACATGTGTCAGCACTGTGTTTACATCTTTTTTGATATTCTGTATGTTTAATTTTGGAAAGGAAGCTATCATAGATGACGTGATCTTTAATTTTGCTGACACAGTATAGATGAAATTGTACAAACAGCGTAGATTTTAGTGACCAACTAAATTAGAACATGTGTTATGGAGAAATTTGGGTTTAAGGCCAATATGACTGGATACGATCACTGATTATTTGTAAGAAAATATGTAATTACATGAAAATGGCTGCATGTTGCTGATGGGGTTTCATTTGGTTCTGAGAATACACAACAGGACATTATCTAAACATCATTAAGAAAGACTGAAACTTATAATGGTCATGCAGTGGTTTTTTCTTGGATGCATGAAGCAAACTGTTAAATATTATTTATATGATCTTTGCCTTTTAAAGGATTAAACATCTTTTTTATACTTCATGCATCAATTCCAGGCAATTTGTGATAGGTTTTCATTATTAAATTATGTATAATTATATTTCAACACTTACCAAGTTTAGCCAAGCAGTTAGGCTTATGATACATTTAGGAGTTACCAGGCTTCAGTCATACTTGGGAGCTATCTTCAGTGATGCTTTCTCATTTTCCTTTCTCTTGCCAGGCAGATTCTAAAATAGACTTCCGAAGTCCACTTAATGATCCTCTTGTCTTGTTTGTTACAATATGACTCCTCCAGTACATACAGTGCAGTTGAATTAGCCTGTAACAAAAGTCCTTAACACATTGATGTTGTAGGATTTGCTGAAGAAACTGCAAGAGGACAGTTCACTTCCCTGTGACTTTGCAGAAGGGACTCTATACTTGGATCCAGATATAATTGATCTTACAATGATCCCTCCACCCATCACACCAGATGAGGTAAGTATATATTAAAACTGGTGAGAACTTTTGTGCAAGAAATGGATTTGAGTTTTTATTAATACACTGAGCCAGGTATGTCTTCTTCTTCTTGTATGGCTCTCCGGTCCGTATTTGGTCCATGGTCTCCTCAATTCTCCTCTTCCATTCAGTCCTTCTGTTAGGTCCGTCTGTCCGAGGTTGAGGTTTCGAAACATATTCCTTTTTACGGTGCAAGGTTGTTAGCCTTGTGACCAACCCCCAACCTGGAGGACCAGGGTACCTGTCTTAGTCTGACCTCTCCCCCTCGACCAATCTGGCTAGGGAGGCCCTACCAGTAGCTCATGGGATCACTGAGGTACTCAAGCCCCACCACCACGACAAGGTGCAGGTACCATTAAGTGGGGGAGCCAGGTATGTACCAAGGATATTTTTGTCTTCCTTTTATTCCCCACAATGGTGTAGGTGAAGGAGTCTTACAGTTTATCTTTATGAAAATTATTTAAGGCCATTATTTTTTTCTAGTGGATTTTGTGCTTTAGTGCCAAACCTATCACTGTTATGGACTTATTGTTTCATGAGCATAAATACTATATTTATGTTTTGAGGAACTGGAGTACTGAAAGGAGGAGGGTAGAAAAGGGAGGGAGATAAAAATAAATAGAAAGGTTATTGAAGGACAGAAAGGAAGGTGTGATATTAAAATTTATGCAAGTAATTAAAAATTAATGGTAACTGGTTCTTTGTGTGGATTTATCTTGTGACTGGAACTTGCATGCCTCAGAATTGTATTTTTATGTTCTGTTACCATAGGATGGACTGTATGCCTTGCCTTGCCAGCTGAGTCTTCCTCCAACTCCCTTTGCTGATCATTCCCCTTTGGAGATAGAGATTCAGCAGACAAGAATGGAACAGTTAATCAATCACAGAAATGTCATCAGCAACTGTTGTGTACTGGACCTTGAACAAGATTCATTGCTGGGTAAGTAATATTTATAAAGTCTCATAATTAATTAACTATCCCTCAATGTTCGAACACCTCTTCAGACATGTTCATATATTATTTTCGACCAGTTTCATACTATCTGTTTTAACATTATTCTGCCATCACTGTCTTGGTCTTGCAAGCATCTGGTTTCAGAGAGATTTCCACGCCAAAATTTTGTGTATCTCTATTGCTGCACCCACACTACATTTCAGTCCAGTATAATCTTTACTGCCTTAACAATATTTGGTGATTTGTATGAATCACAAAATTCTTTAATATGCAATTTGCAAAATTCTGGTCACACTTTATACATTGTGGATCCAGATTTTCCTTTACACTTTGTTTTAAACTTGAAATTTAATTTTTGAAAGTAGATAACGTGATAAAATCTGTTGTGCTGCAGCTGATATTAAATGTTTGCATAATAGATTCATCAGCTTAATTATCTGTTAGTACTGATGTGTTTCGTATTTCAGATGATATTCTTGGGTTGGAACTAAACAAGACTCCAACTAGTGATGAACCCCATTCATTAGTAATACCAGGTTTAGATCTAAATCTAGACTTTGAAGCATTCCTAGCAACAGTAACTGTTCCACCACCCACTGAGCAAGCCCCACCATCAGTAGAACTGACACCAGAGGAGATTTCTTCATTTATTATTCCACCTCCACCAACTAGTGGCAGCGACGCCTTAAACGTAAGCTTACAACTTTGACTGTTAAGTATCTTGTGTCATTTTCGTTATTTATGATGTGATTTTTAAGTGGAAAAAACAATACAATATTGAGAAAATTACTATTAATCCTTTGTTTCTTTATCAAGAAATGTTATGCATTTTTCTCCATGATTACTAATCCTATAAAAACTGACTTTTTCAAAGATTTTGATATATAACACTTGAGAACTTGATATTAATTACCCAACATAGTAAAACACCTTTTAAGGTTTTGGCTGTAGTAGTTGTATGTGGAAAAACAGTTTCCAATTTTGACTGATGTGTTGTAAATGTGCCTATTAATGGCTGTTTAGCCAAAACATGTTCCTCATTTGGTAATCAGTCTTATTATTGAACTGCGTCAAATTCTTAGTAGATAAGTATGTAAAGCTACTTTTGTAGGATGGACTAATACTTGAGCATGCTGTATGTATTATCTGAACAGGATGCTAAAATATAATATTAATCCTATTTAACATTGCTTATTCAGTGGTAGGATGATTTATGAGTGATAAATTGGAAATACTGTGGAAGGAAGTGGTCATGTCTTACTTTAAGGTACTATCCCAACATTGGCTTTCCAGACTAAGGAAAACCATGAAACGCCTCAATTAGGATAGGCATCTTCTGGGCTGAGATGAGAAGTGTCTTTATGTGGTATAACAACCAAGCCAGCTGGTGGTTTACGACAAAACTTTATGTAAATAGAATCATTTTCTTTTACACTTTTCTTACCTATTTTAGGGTGAACTCGTCAGTACGCACATGAACATCGTAGAGAATCATGACAATAAGAATAGTACAACACAGAGCTCATCCAAAGTGATTGAGTATCCAACTGTAAATAGAAAAGGAGGAACCTTTTCGTGCTGTGGAAAATACCGGGATAGTCCTGAGAAGATCACAGCAGAGGAAATTCAGCCACCACCCAGAAGTGGTTCAGAGAGCTTAAAGCCACCAGCACGACCACCAAAGTCTGCAGAACATCTTCAGGCTGCATCTGTGCATCAGCAGAGCAGTTCCTTATCTGGAATTCAACAGGATTCACAGCCGCCATTATTGCCGCCACGAAGTGACTCGATTCACGCTCATTCTTGGGTGCCACAGAAGAAGCCACCTCTACCTCCTGTACCGTCTCAGGTAGGTGGTTTGTAATTTGCTTAATTGAGTAGAGGATTCATCTGTAGCATCATCATCATTATGTACCGTTCAAGGTGTTAGGGTACTTGCTGACCCATTTATCCCATTTGTGGACACACAACAATTTTTTATTTTAACTGGAATAAATTGCACAAAAGAGAGTCTGAAATGAAGTGAAGCTTTTAGGAAGTATAATTGCTGTCTGTTTATTTAAACCTCATGCTGCAGAATTTTACTACACTACCTTTTGTCAATATCGTTTCTTGAATTAGCCTAGTTAGTCTTGTTTTGCTCCAAATGTAATTCTTAATTAGATTTAATTTTTAATATATTACATTCCTGAGGCTCATTTATTTGTCTTGTGTAATGCTCCACCAAGTCCATTTTATTTTGTATGAAATTTATAATTGTTAGACTTAATTTGATAAGGACATCCTCTTGAAGTTTATTTATTTGAATGCATTAGACACCATCTAAAAGAATGTGCCATTATTGGTGTAGATGAGTTCCGATGTGTCTGGAAGTATTATCGTATTTGAACTGAACTGAGTTCGCTATTGATTGTGGTTGTTGGTAGGGAGGGTAAGTGAAAGGTGGTTGTTGGGGGTGGGGTTAAGCATCTTTAGATAGGGTTATTAAGGTAACAATAATAATATTTACCTTAATAAGGACACAACTAATATCATCACCCAAGTTTTGACTATGACTGTCTGTGTTGACTGAAAGTATTTGTTAGTATTATATTCACTAATTTTTCAGGATGTTCTTAGGAGGAGTGCTCAGCACAGTTCAAACCTGAAAGGGCTGTCAGATGGAAACAGTCACAATAAACCAGCATCTGGTACCACACTGTTGAGAAATGGCCACATATTCTCTGACTGCTCAACATCATCAAAGCACGGCAGAGATGTTCTGTGTTCCAAATCAGATGCGACCATGGTCGGTCTTCTGGAGCGCCTTGACCAGGTTGTGGCACAGTGCTCCAGAGCTCAGGCAGCTGGAGGAGGTGCGCAAATGGATGAAACTCGTTTCCAAGCAGCAAAGGAAGCTTTGACGAATGAAGCACGGCAGCTGGTCACTGCTTCCAAGGTGTTTGTGAAAGGTGCAACAGATGCACCTTCAAGGCAGGAGTTGCCTAGCAACCTTGCCAGTTGCCTCCAGCTCCTTCACAGGTTGACAGAGCTTGTTACAGACATGACAGCTCACACAACAGCGCCACTTCAGACCCGCAACTTGGTGCTCAAAGTGCGGGATGTTGCCTGTGCGTTTAGAGAGACACTTGCCCCTGCTTTGGACTCAAATGGACAGGAAGGCATGCTGCTGCAGAGAGCCGATGACCTCGCTAGTGTTCTCGCCACTTTACTGAGAAGCCTTAGGGTTTTCTCACCCTGATGGAACTGCCAGTAGTAATAGTTTGAACTTAGGTTTCTAGTGAGTATTGATATGCCACATTAACCAGTTTAATGTAATAATAAGTGATGGAGCTCAATTCTGCACAAAATATGGAAATGATCATTTACAATAATTATCGTCACAAGTACAAAGCATAACATGAAGGTAAGTGTATAAGTAGTTTTTTTTTTGTCATTACATTTTCTATTTTTTAAATAGTTTATTTATTTACACTGCCATCCTTTTATAAAAATATTTTAACCATTAAATTATAACATAATTTTTTCATGAACCATGGAGAAGGATATTGACAGAGTTTGCTGCATGTATTTTGAAACATGCACACGTAAAATGTTGATTGTATGATTTTTCAGATTTATTTTTTTCTGGGTGGAATTTGTTTTCCTAGTCATTAGTTACACTTATTGTATGTTTTATGTAGTCTTGATGTACCGTGTGGTCATATGACAGATGCAGGTGACATGAAACTTGACGGTGTTCCTCGCTGTTTATACTACCAGCTTGTTACCATGGTATGTGAGTACTAATGTTACATTCAGCAAGATGCTTGTCTGCAATATTTTTTCTCTCCACAACAATTACTGATTATATAGCTGTTAAAAATATTTATCAGAACAGTGACATCTCTCAGCATTACTGCATCATCATCAGGAAATTTACCATGCACAACACAAATACTGTATTGTATGTGATAAAGAGCAACATGTAGCTTTTCACACAGTAATTTTAAATCTGTGAAGTTAGTAATTATTGTGTAGACAGAAAATCAGTACACTTAATATTTTTAATTTCTGGTTTAACCTTTTACCACATTATATCCTGACACTATAATATTCATCTTACACAATGTTTTACCTTGTTGAGAGCTGCAGGGGACAGTTAATTTCACCATGTTCTGCTGTGTTAGATACTGTAAACCAAAGGGTACACATAACCTACAAAAGACCAATAATTCACCATTATGAAGTGCTGTTTGGCTTTTCATTGTACCCACAAGCCATGTATTAGGACACAACAGGTTTTTAACTAAAGCAAAGAATTTTTTAAGCATGGCTGTTCAGAGTTCTGATGCCATCGTGAAAGTGTTTGGTAACAAGGCAAAGAAATATGATACATGAAGATTGGCAGCTTTAGGAAATATGTAGCTTGTATGATAAATCTTTGATTAAATTGTATCTTTAGGTATTTGATATTGTTCCCCTAATCTAATATCCATTTGTTTACCTGTGAAAGAGAGTAGTAGATATATAGGTAACCCTCGATTTGTGCCAGTTCAATTTGCGCCGATTCAGAATAACGCCGATTTTGAAACCAGCAAATCAAAAAGTGGAAAAAATATGTTTTATTATTATTTATAACGTTTTGCAATGTTTCTCGTACTGATTCTTATACTAAATCGTAATTCTTATACAGTTTCTCCAGCTTCTAGTTATGTCCTCTCACTTAGGTTCAAATATTCTCCCAGGAATGTGTTATCCCAACATCCTCAATTTGAGTTCTTTCTTTAGGAAGACAAGCCAAATCCAAAGTCCATACAAAACAAGATGCCACTGAACTGATTCTGCTGAGATCTGTACAGGATAATAAAATCAAGGATGATGAATTGGGTGGAATATGTAGCATATTTGGGCGAGATAATAAATATATACAAAACTTTTTTTTAAATCCTAAAGTGAATAAACCACATGGGTGACTTACGTGTAGATAGGAGGATAATATTAAAATGGATAGGATATGAAGGTATAAACTGAAGTCATCTGGCTCAGGATAGATTCCAATAGCAGGTTATTGTGAGCACATGTTTTGGATTCCGTAAAGGTGGGGAATATCTTAATTGGCTTAGAGGCTGTTAACGTCTCAAGAAGGATTCTTCTCCATGGAGTTACATACCTAATTCCAGTAGTCAACTCGATGACAAAAATCATCTTACCATTCAGCACATGTCAACTGGAATGCTAGATGTTTCTTCCAATAGAGTAAATGTGTCAGCAGCATTGGGTCAGGTTTTATTCCACCTGCAGTGTGTTTGTATGTTCTCAATTGTATGCACTCATGCATGTAAAGCGGCCCATCCACGTACGAGTCTGGCTTGCGAGTCCGGCTCAGCTCGGGTTCCATTGAGCCCAACTCATTTGTGGGTGGGGTGACACGAGCCGAGTGTGCTATGCATGTGTGGTGAAATATATACGAGCCCAGCTCACGAGTCAAGCTCGCCGAGCCAGACTCGTACGTGGATGGGCTGCTTAACAGTCCAAAGAAGTAATGTACAGATTCTGCTATACCCTTATTCTCATTACTGTTTCTGTGAAAGGAATCTGGTACCTGTGATGCAAATTTGTTTGTTGACTTGAAGAGTTTACTGAGTGATTGTTGAGATTAACAGTAGATATTTGCCATATAGATAGTTATATTGATAATAATTATAAGGAGATAATATAAGATTTGGTGACAGCTGAGAACCATGTGATATATTATTTATAGAGCTGGTATGGTTCTCATAGTTTCTATTCATGTTGTAGAACTGATGTAATATATCTTTCAACTCGAACTCTGTACAGGGATTGTAAGCTACTTCCACATATATTTACTTTGGTGTTTCACTAATGCTTTAGATTACTTCTTCACTTTATCTGTGTGTTGTTCCACACATTAAAATCCTTCTTATATTTCTATTGCATTCTGCTGCTTAACATGTTGACCTGAAGTAAGGTGGAGCTCTAATGAAAGCCAAGTTATATTGGTCTGCCCAGTAATGGTCTTGAATCAAGAGCTGGAATTTCAGTGCACAGCAGATAAAAACCTGTGAGTTGTGAGTATTAAATACCAATGGGATAATAATTTTATTTGCTAATTAAATCTATGTAACACTGAACATTTTGTTGTGAACGGATGTTAACATTGCACGTGACATCCGTGCTTCAGGACCACTCCTTGTCAGCTGTCTGTGACTACTTATGCAATATATTCCAGCTACTCTCTGCACTAGAAGCAGTCTCCCCCCATCTTTGAACTGAGAATACATCCTACTGAAATCGAGGAGGCTGAGATGGGCTGAGTGTGGAAAAAACAAGGGATACATTCAAAATTTTGGTGGAGAAACCTCTCTGAGAATGCTATCTTGGAAGACAGAGGGAGAAGGGAAGATAACATTAGGATGGATGTTAGGGAGATTGGGTTTTGAGGATCAGAGATGGATGGATCTCTGAGGATTGTGTCCATGGTGGGCTTTGGTATTAGCAGTATTGAACCTTTGGTTTCTGGTAACTCATTACATTAAATATCTAAACTCAATCCTTGGTTTCTACATCTGAATCAGTGGATTGTAGAATTTGAAAAACCAGTCACCATGATGTCAATAAACTTTGTCTTAATAATTCTTCATACTTTGCTTGAAGGTGAAGAAACATTTCTGAGTTACTAGATTAGTATGCAACATAAGCATAAGCAAGTGAAAAATTACTGTAATTATATTTGTATAACATCATATCATAGTTATAAGTTATTGTGAATTGTGTCATAACGCCTTAACCCATTTAATTGCAATCACTGATAATAAATAATTCATTATTTGCAAATAACAGAGTTGGTGTTTCAGTAATAGTGGGAATAATGAGGAGTAATAGAATTAGAAACACATATAATATGAGACAGTGCAATATGGAGGAAATACAGAACCAAGTCAAGGAAAGTGTATTGAGATGGTTTGGACATGTTAAAAGAATGAATGAATGTAGAATACCAATGGAAGAAGATCCAGGGGCAGACAACACATATGATGGATAGAAGTTAAGAGATATATAGAATGAGGATGATTACAAGAATACCCAGGCAAAGGCCATGCATGTGATGGGTAGATGAAATTAAGAGAGATGTAGAGGGGAGAAAGTGAGACTGGAGAATGGTAAATGAAATGCAAGAATGGGCAGATACAGTCAGTTACAGATTTCTAAAAGAAGTTAACCGACGGGTGTGGAAATGACATAAGGAAGAAACAACAGCTTAGACTTTCAGAAATTAGAGTAAAAAAGTAAGGTAAATTATTTTTACAATACTGTATACTGAACACAAAATATGTGAGTCTCAGCTGTGTCACAGTAAAAGGAGAAGGGAATATGCAAAGGGCAAGTGGGCGTAAAGATGACTTGTGTGCTGTTACTTGCCCTCCCTCCCCATACCTCAGCTGGCTGGCCACCAACATGCATATTTTTAATGGTCAAAGTGCAGAGATAATTTGCAACAGGTATACTTAATTAGAAACTTCAATGACATGCTAATTTTTGTTCTGTGTAATACAACACAAAAAATGTTTGTCGGTATTATTAAGAAATGTTCGTGCAAACTAATTGGTTTTTGTCTGTTCACTCAGCATGTAAAGGTTCAGGTTTAGGAATTTCAGAAAAATATTGTGGCTGTACATTCTGAAGTATTTTATGGTTTACCTATATCTAAAATGTGTAACAATTTTTAATAAGAAAACAAATTAATTTAATAGTGATGTAACACGGAAGGAAGTCTATACTAACAAATTAGTTTTTTTTACACATCATCAATTACCATAAGAGACTGATTATAAATTTCCTGTATTTGTGGGACATACGTTGGTAGCCATTATATATTTTTTAAACTTTGCCAGAGTAAAACTTTCAAAGGTTTTTTACCTTAAATTGTATGAAAAAAATTAAACATTTGCTAAAATTAGATTACTAATTCAACTGATACTGGTGATTTCCATAATCAGTAAACTAAATAATAGAATATGAAAGAAAGTATGTAGTCATGATGGTTGAGTTGCAACTAAAGAAATGCCCTAAGCATTGGTCCAGCTAATTTGTCCTTGATTTCATGAACTCTTTAAATGCTGCTGTCATATCAGGTATTGGTGAGATCTTAGGTTCTCATAGTGGCAAGTAAGAAGATGACTGTCTCCTGGAATGTTGCAACATGTGGTCTGGTAGACGTTTATTGTCATTTCAGAGGTCCTTGCCGCCTTCATCATCAGGGCAGTGATGGAGGCAGCAAGCACTTCTACCACACTATAAGGTGCAACATCACAGAAGACAAGTCATCTTCATATCAGGTGTTGGTAAACTAATGAAAGATTGCCAGTTGAGGCTGTCTGTCTCCATTCGCTCATGGAGTTTACCTGGGAGAAGCAGCAGAGGAAGTTTTCTTGAGTAAAGTCTGATATATATAAATACCAGATGGTGAAATGATGTTTACTTGACTGTATGTACAATATTATTTATACTCGAGCATCATGTATGCATCTCATAATAAAGTATAAAATTGTAGTTATTTCATATTGTGTTTGCTGTCTTCTGGTGCATGTTATTCACAAGTCTCTGAAAACTATGAAGATATGTATGTGTGTGTGTGTGTCTGTATAAATAGCATATGTAGGCTTGTGGTTATTGGAAATTTTTAAAATGTCTCACAGTTATTTCTTTATTATGGTACTATGCCTTTTGTTGATAAATATGCTAATAACAGTGGAAAGCATTGTCAATACTTTTAGCCTTTCAAATGTAGTCATTTTGATATTAATTGAAAAGTCATGTTCTCATTTAGTGTTGCATGGAGTGATAATTTAAAATCAAAACAAAATTTATCAAAATTTTATATGGTGTTTATTATGTGTTTAAATAAATGGATCTCTAAAGGGGTTCAGTTTAGAGCTCAGAAATTATAAAGAACAAATACTAAGTTGAATGAGGCAAAGCGCCGAATGTTGAAATACCTACACTTCAGAGGATCGAAATAGGTGCAGAAAATGGAGATAATGTTGGCTGTGGACAGTGTAGCCTGATATCAGATTGGCGCTAAATTATATTCTAATGATGATGGCTCACAAATTGGGCGGAATGAGTTTGTTCATTTATTGTAAGTGCAAGAGATATCAACATATCCTGCTTGACATCTGTGTAAAATAGACCAATACAAAGACTAATGTATGAAGTAGAGTTAACTGTTGTATCTGTTTAATTGTAATGAAGGAGTGTCATCACAATAATGTGTTTCATCCAGAAAACATTAAAACATGTTTCATGTAACGTACCTTGTTGTTTGCCAGTCAAGGAAAGCCAAGGCATAGAATCAAGTTTTGACCATTCTGCTCATATTAACTTTGACCCCATGTGTATAATATCATTATGAAGGTCTGTAACAGTGGTCTACTGTCATAGAATAATGGAGCAGTTTCCTTTGGCAGTGTGAGGAATATTTATGTTCTGGTTTGTTTATAATGGTTTTGATTGCACTTTGCCCAGATTGTTAGATGTCTTCTAACTTGAACATGGCTCTGATTTGCTGTACTCTCCTGTTTGTCACATGATTGTAATTTATAATTCCCATCATCTCGTGTGTAAATTCTTAGCATAAGAAATGTTTATAAATTGTAATAATTCAAACTCTTCTTCCTTTATGGCAAGTGGATTCCGCTTGGTTTTCTGCTAACATCTTTCCAAAGGAAAATATGCAGACATGACATGCTCTCATAACTTTTGTTGTCTTGGTTGATTGGCTCTAGCTGATGCAATAAATAGAACAGTATAGCTGGAGAAATTAATTCTGATGGTTCTTAATTTGCAGAAGTGACATAACACATATAAGACTGCAAACTGTATTTTTATTTTTCCATAGAGTACTGATTTGAATTTTGTAAAGCTATGCCCTACCATACATTGCATTACCAACATATACTCGTTATCTCTAAATGTTCAGCACTTTTACCGTAATGTTCGCTATTACACTTATTCTCCCTTCCTAGACTTGTTTCAGAAGAATATCATTAAATGTATTGCAGTAAACAATATGTAATAATTATGATGTAAGGAATTACTAGTGCAGTGATTGTCATAACAATACACATTGTTTAATTATATATTATTAAAGAATATTTTATTCTTCTTTCTACCTCACATTTTAGCAAGGGTTATATTATTATATTATATTATAAAATATGTATATGCAGGGATCTACAGTTTGCTCATTTAATAGACATATCATCAGAACCCATCTGAATTTAATTTTCAGGTCATGAAAGTGCTATGTTGCTGTACTGTCTGCATACTGAAGTACAGTATGTGTTTTCATTGTTCCTAAACCATATTCCAATTATATTAGGAAGGTTTTTTTGTTCCCCTATGCCAGACTTAAGCCTCTCAGCCATTAGTCTATTTACAAGGTGACAAGTGTCAGTCGTTTTTAGCGAACAGGGGGCACCACGAGTAGGTGACTGACTTCACCCCCCTTTTTACAAATATCCATGCCTTGAATGGGATCCAAACCCATGGTTGTAGCAGCCAGGCACACAAGGACCATGCCTCAGACCGTGTGGCTACTGCGGCCGGCATATTGGGAAAGTGGTACTTCCACTGAAGTATCTATGGTATGAATTTGACAGAATATGTATTCTAACAAATCATGACTTTCTTTGACATGTTACAGTGGTTGCTGCTCAGTGTCTGGAAAGGTTTCTAGGATATTCTCACTCTGGTGAAGATGTCAGTGTTGGTCCTGTGGATTGTGATGCTATGTGGACTTGTAAGTAGATACTAACATCAACAGGAATCTTTGGACGTTACTTTCAATGTGTACTGGATTGCTGGTTGTGTTTCAACTGCGTGCATTTTCATATTTTTGGGGCACTTCTCTTTTCTTTCAGAGGACTGCCAGTATCCCAATGTTATGGTCTCATTTGACCTTGAATTATAATTTAAGCAGGAGGTAGATACTTTCAACTTGTTGACCTGCTGAGACGATGACTAGAAAGGGTTTTGCATCATCGCAGTGGAATGAGACATTTCTTCAGTAACAAGACTGTACCAAAGAGGGCAGAGGAGATCGATGACAAATAAAAATTACATCCTCAGCCAAAACATCATTAAACATGTTAAACGTATTGAGTAGCTTTATTAGAACTATATTTACATATGCGATGTGAGCAGTGACCATGACAATGTAACATTATATTTATAAGTGCATAATTTATGTTGTGGGCGAAACTTGTTCTTCTGTATCAATGTTCCTCTCTTGGCTGGAATTGATGTACTGAGTGCTCTTGACAGCTGAGTAGAGCGTGAAAAGTACATGAAGGGACTCAATCCTGGATTCATATACTGGGATGTCAAACAGACCTGTATAACAACCACATAAGTAACAATCTATAGTTTCAAAATGCATTCTTTGTGATTCTGCATCCTTCACTACACCCCATGACCACTTAGTGCAGATATAAATCTATTGTTGGTGAAGCTAATCAACACCACAGGTTATTTTTGTGGTGAAAACATCAACTGTGGTCTTTCTGTATCAACCCCATCTTCATCTACTCAGATTATGGAATCAGTAGGTTCCTCCAAAGCTCTGGTAACCTCCCGCAAGGGAAAATGGCATCACTACCAAAGACCATAACTGACAGAGATGTTACACTACACTTATGCAATAAAAGTTTTCATTTTTCTTTAGTTGTATAAGAATCATAAAAAAGATTCAAATGAAGTACATGTGCCAATCAGGTCTTAAATTTATGTCGCAGCCATCTGTAATGCAATGAGCCATTCCAACTGCACATTCAGGATATTGTTAATGTTATTGCAAATCCAGGAGACTGAAAACTGCAATATGTAAACAAAAGAGACAAGTCTCTCTTCCTCCAATGACTATATTTTAACGGCTTCTGCCTGCTTCCACTCATTATGTACTTACTACACACTATATCCACATATCGGGGCAGATCACAATCAAGGTCAGCAATAGGCAAACCACTTTCTCCCAGCTGTTGCTCTACATCAGCAGGCCACTCTTGCATCAAGTAATCTATGTCTGGCATTGGTCTACAGAAAGTAAGCATGAATTTAGGTTCAATCTCATTACCTCGACAAACATTAAAACATGGGAAAGTGTTTATAGGCCTACAACAGAGAACAAATCCAACAAAACATTATTTTATCCATACTAAATCTAGTAAATGTATTTTGGGATTTCTTTAGTGGCTAAGCGACTGTCGGCTTCTCAGGAAGGATTTTTGCTCCGTGGGGAAAGTGAGTAAGCACTAAACCCAGTATCTACAATAACTTTTCTTTTCTTACATGACAGTCAGTAAAGTGTCAGGCCATGGCCATGGTTTGATTCCTGGTATGCATATTTGAATTTTTCTTTTTGCAGCTGTGTCCAGAAACTTGATGTCATGGCAGAGTGGTCAGTACTCGTGCTTCGTGTCCTGAATTCAAATATCAGCCCACACACCGGTTATGCTTACCGAGATTTTTCATGGTTTTTCTCAGTCCATACAGGTAAATGAACTGGAATGGCCGTGGAAGTAATTGGGCCATGACTGGTTCTTTCCATATTTTTTTCAAATCATTAATCAGCCTATCATATTACATTACACAGTCAAACCTACTTATAGCTCCATAAAATAAACTACAAACAAATAAATAAATAGCATATCCAGAACTTTTTTGAGGCCCAACCAATCTTTCCACTAAAGAGTAATGTGTACTGACCTAAGAATAAAGCTGGTCACTTACGTCCGTATATCACTGAGGTTTTCACGAGCTTCATATCTCCTACACAGAGTTTAAGCACATGGACAGCGCAATTGTTTTGACAGACAGAAACATAACCTCCTAATATGTTTATTTTATGAACCGTGCAAAGCGCACATAATATGTTTTCAAAATTTGAAAAAAGGAGGACACATACTTTGAGTAGTGGACTGTAGGTGGGGGTTTGCTGCGATGCAAGTCACTGATATCTTTGATCCACCGGTCAATAGCTTTTGTATTCTTCTCTGCACATTCCACTTTCTTCACAACCTATGACATGGAAACAGTTTCAGTCCTACCGAGTTGGTCTTCACAAGACAAAATGCATTTACTGCGGCTTTTATACCCTTGTAACAAATGCTGTCTTCTGCCACGACATTCCCATAATCATCATCTATGATTAAATGTTGTGTTGTCATGTTATTCTGATAAGTCTTCATGACATTTTGTAACTGACCAATCAATGACATACTCTAGACAGATCTAAATTAATTATAGGAAGATACTTTATAAAACAGAAGTCACTGCATGAACTGATGGACTGGAAAATACTAATGCATGTGGAAAGATAACACTAACATTTAATGTAGAATCCTGGAATGATGTATGGTGGATATGCTTTTAAAATACTTATATTTTAACTTTTTGTATAACTTAAAATAACAATATGTAACCACGGAGAATATGTACTTATGTTTGATGGTGATTATAAGTCCTAACCATATCTATTAAATTCGAATGAAACAATTTTTGATGTTTAAAATAAAAAAAAAATAACATGAAAATACACTAAATTTTTTGAGATAATGATAATGTATACTAGCATAAACATACATAACTGATCTTTCTTCAGCTTGCTGTCATTTCATGTGTATTAACTCAGCTACCAAAATCCTTTTCCTCTTATAATCTGTTTAAATGTTCAATATATATTTCTTTACAACAAATTCAAACTCAATAAAACTACAGTCTTACTTAATGGTTTAAGTATAAAGCAGATTCAATAACACCAAAGTCTCACTCCAAGCAAGAGATTAAATCCACCTGTTATTGAGAATGTTGTTTTATTGTGCAACTATTTGCAGAAATGCTGATTTATTGTATGATAAACATCGTGTCTTTTAAAGATACCTACTGCCTTCATTTTCTAGGCTGAAGTATCAAGCCAGAATGTTTACTGAAGACAAGATACAAAAATTGAACACTTCTGTGGCTTATATTTGAGAACCAAACATTCTAATCCATTCAAATGGTTTCTAAAGTGTATGGCAATAAGATTTACTGTTCTTACCACAGCCTTTGCAGAACTCTGTTTAGCAACAGCTCGCAACTGAAGATGAAGCACTGCCGGCTCGCTCTGCTTAGCACATGGCTCATCCAGTACTGTCAGTCCAATACTGTCACTTTTCCCATCTGGGCGAGAAATCTTGAGGAATGCGTCAATATCTCCAACAGCCGGTATGAAATCGGGGATGAATGGCCGTAGCTTGTAATCCAATTCTATGTTCTGTGGTGTGTAGCTGGAGAAAATACAAACTATAGCATCTAAGGTTAGCTGAATAATATAGCACTGTACATGACTTGTTTACATACCGTGTAATGTTCTGGAATAAGTCCTTCACCTCTGCTGATACTGGAAGGTGGTTGAATTCATTTGGATCATATGTCCTGTAATGTGAAGACAATGATCATAATTGTGATGTGGGAACATTTTCAGTATTCAATAACTGGAATCAAGTGATCCCCACAATTAATGCCAACCTTACATGAAAAATACATAAAATATGAAATACATTTGGAAAGATAAATTGAAAACCCTGGTACCCAGTGGAGAGGAGGCTGGGTGGGCCCCAGAGCCAGTCTGGATATTATGTAGGGAGATCTACTCTAATGTCAAGCAAAGCCTAAAATCTAAGTCTTTCTGGAATGAAATGTATAAGACTGAAGACGGTCCACAGCTAGAGCATTAGCGTTAATAATGATGATGATGATTATTTACAAAAACTAAAAGATGAATAGTGAGTTCTCACTGCAGACCCTTGGTGCAAAATGTCAACAGATGGTGATTGTGAAACAAACCCTTCTAATGTTGCAGCTTGTACATCAACATCATCGTCGTCATCATCATCATCATCATCCTCACTGTTATCTGAATGATCTGGGATTTGATGAGTCATACGATGGTGTGCTGAAATGTGTGACGAACCAGGGCGTTGGATTCCCAGTATTGCCACATCATTGGAAGGACCTGCAAGGGACTAAAATTCAAAAGATAAACATTCATCAGCTCGAAATGCAATGCACTGTGGGGTAACCAGAAAAATCACATTTTTAACTTGATTCTTTCTATGTAAGAATTATACAATTCTGCCAGATTAAAAGCACAATGATGTAACATCCATATTTTGTTTCAAGAAATTCTACAGGGAACAAAGTATGAAGCCTGGATGGAATAATGCATAATGTACAAATTCTCATAATCAGCTGAATACTGAATATTCACCAACACACACTTGACTTCAGTATTTTAATCCAGTTCCAGTAAGAAGGTTAAATAAAGGTTTTCTGATATCACTGCCCTACAAGCCAAATAACAATGTACTGCTTAAAGCAAGAGTGGCAACCATTCAAACCTCCCACAACCTACCTAATTACAGTGCTACAAACAACAAAATACTTGAAGATTGCTGTCTTCTGGGTTGTTGCGCTGTGTAGTCTGGTCGATGTTAACCAGCGTTTCAGAGGTCATCGCCCTGATGACGGAGGCAGTATGACCTCTGAAACGTTGGTTAACATCGACCAGACTACACAGTGCAACAACCCCGAAGACAGAAATCTTCATACTCATCGCCCTGATGACGGAGGCAGTATGACCTCTGAAACGTTGGTTAACATCGACCAGACTACACAGTGCAACAACCCAGAAGACAGCAATCTTCATACTCACCGCTGTGAAAACCTCAAATTTTACAACAAAATACTCAGCATAACACTCCTAAAACTGACTTAATTTTCAGCAGATTTAAAGCATGCAGCAACACGCCATGCCAGCATGCATACCTTATTGTCACAATCTGCCTTTTTATCCTGGAAATTGTATAGATCTCTATCTTTGTTACTACTGGATGTTGGACTCTCCACTTCCTCTGCACCCACCACATCAATGCTCTCGTCATACAGCATGGCAGATGAGGACTGCATCAATATGTTCAAAAATGAGTGATGTACTCTTATTTAAATATCAATAATGAAAATGGATGTATAAAGTTACAATTTTTCACAAATTAGAAAATTACTTCATTAAGTATACTTTTTCAGACACCATGCAGACCTAAATTAACATAACCAACATCCAGAAAGTTAGAGAGGGATAAAGAAAGCCTACAGTAACCAGTATTGTCTAGGACATAACATTACAATTTCCATTTTAATGCCGATGTCAACGGAAGTTATTTACAGCGCATAACGAAAAACTGTCAGTATTATGAATGTCGAATTCGGAAGAAAGTGGAGAATGTTATGATTCACGAACATCCCAGTGTCCAACGGTAGAGTTCTAACCACCAAACCATCACATTCAGATTCCTAACAACATTTTAATGTTTTCACTTCAACATTCTGTAATTCTCGATTACCTTCGAGCGTGGTGATTCATCGTTATCACTGTCTTTACTTCCAGACATGTTTATTCCTCAGTAATATTAACTGTTCGGATACCAATGCAACATTTTTTCATTCCATGCACAATGCACATATTTACAATTGTCGACTCAGGAATGTTTGTAAACAAGATTGTTTCATACGTCCACTGTTGCCAACAGCTTTTGTCGCCAATTTAGTACAATATTGGGACGAAAAATATGTTTTCAGTGCAGCTACTGCAGTATCATAAAATAACCTTTAGAAATACTTTCTCTGAAAAATTAGCGTATGACTCACGTTGTTTCAATACATGTGTCTTACGATATCATTTTTTTAGATAAAATACGCATAAGAATAGCCCACTTTCTTTATGTAACCTGAAGGTTAATCACCGTGCTCGCAAAAGCCCACCACCTGACTCTATTCTGAAAATCCTTCCAATATCGGACAGTGACTTTCCGTACGTTCGATATCATAGACTACGTGTAAGTGTAAATTGTAAGTTGAGAAACAATCTGTAAGTCTAGGGTTTATGTGTTCTAAGCGAATTAAGTAAGAACTGGACTATGCATCTTTTGCGTATTTCACAAATTAGTAATCTGTGCTGTGGTGCATCTTTCATCTGTGATCGTATACAATAACTATGATATCTGAAGTCGCTTAAATAGTAAATATGTCCGTTCATTGATGGTTGTAAGAAGTATGTCGCTAACAAGGTAATGAAGTGGTTATAGTTTCAACATTTAAAATAGATTTTATATAATTAATTTTGATGTTTGGATGTTACTTAAATATTATAAATTTTAATCGTGATCTCATTGCTTAAGCTTATGCCAACAATTATTTTCCAATGCTAAATGTCTTGTTAATTTGGAAGCTGAAATACCTTTGGTTCGTATGCAGATGTAAACATAGATGGGCGTAATTGGGTAACCGTTGCAAGCCATTATTTTTTTAAGTAATGTACATGTTCATTCCTCTAAAGTCCCAAAGGAAGTCTAGAAATGACGCTAGTGTATATACCTCATACACATGTCTTCACATGAGGTACAAACAGAATTTTGGCTTGGTAGTTGTTGGAATGCACTTCACGTTTTCGAAACGTGTGCATGGATTTTGGTTGTTTCATGACTGATTTGATGTTTGTGTATGAAGTAGAAAATAGTGCGCAAGTTTGCTGACATAAGACATTAGGTTTTGTGGTTCATGTTAGGGTTACCTTTAATGTGAGCTTAGTGTTGTGATGATCATGTGTTATGAGTAATCAGCTCCTTATTTGATTCTTTACCATACTGTCTATACCATAAAGAAATTAAAGGACTTTATAGTTTGATAGTAATAGTATTACCAGTTAGCTTTTCTGTGATGTACATTTCTAAAACATGATCACAGTTTTTAATCCAACTTTAGACACTTTACATATTACAAAGCTACATATTTTAGAACATTTTTGTGGCAACTTCATATTTAAAGTTTTCTGATACCTTCCATAACAAAAACATAACTCATGTTGTTTGTTGAAAAAAGTTCTGTGATGAAAGTCTTACAAAGTACCCATTATTATGTAGTGAATAATGTGAATGCTGTCACTGAAATTTGGGCAGATTTCATTTGACTAGTATCAGTCTGCCAAAACATGCTTTACCAATTTTCTCAAATTGGCCCATTGTAAAAAAATTGCCCCTGAAATAAAAAGGATCTATTGAAAAAACCTGTTTCAAACATTTTTTAGTGTGCTGTATGATTAGTAACAAAACAGAGGAAAACTCTTTATCTGTATGCTACATTTTTTAACTTGCTTTGACAACAAAAGAATCTTGAAGCATTACTTATTAACTTCCATGTAGGCTCGTGAGTATGGTCTGGTCTGTAGACAAGTAGGCATACTTGAGAAAAAATGAACATACTAACAGGTAAGGATTGAAACACCAACTCATATTTCAGGAACATCTGCAAGGTGTTGGAAGATGTGGATGAAAAATAAAAAAAATTATGATGATGGGTGGTACACGAAAGTAAATAAAAATATAAGTAATTTTGCATCATTTCTTGGAATCTTTCTAAAAGTATTGAAGTTGGAAAATGTTTTCTTATTTTAATGTAAAGAGGTGTATTGAAATTATGTATAAGTAAAGTAAAGCTGTCCCACTATGCGCCATGTAGGCACTTGGAGGGAGAGGAGGTATAGGTCCTACTCATTCTTGACCTCAGCACTAGATGGGGGTGAGTGGTCAGCATCATGCCCTGGCCACACTTTACCTCCAGGAAAGGACTCCTGTACCCATTGAATAGGAGGCTGAGTGGGCCTCAGAGCCAGAGGCTAGAGGAATAATCCTCTGCCCCTGTCGGGGATTGAACCCTGGTCATTCAGTCCATAGCCAGGCACTATACTGACTGAGCTATGCCGGCTCATATTGAAATTATGTATACTTCAGTAATCCTACATTATTAAAGACTCGGTTATTCTTTCTGTTGCTGACTTCTAGATGCGTGTTGTGAAGTGCAAAGTACTGATTCATTATTGCAATTACATGTCTTCAACATATTACGTGATTGGGTATTGTCTTTAATGTTTATGTTGCACTTTATTTTTCTTACTGCCTTTAAAATATGAAATTTTAATGCAAAAATCTGAACTCATTATGAAGGTCAGGTTATGATGTACATATATGATGAGTAACAATCACAAACACTACCAACACACCAATCAGTGTGTTATATTTACAAAACATTTTAGAATCTTACAACTTTTTGACGTAAATACGTCTATAATATGTTATATTTACAAAACATTATTTTAGAATCTTACAACTTTTTTATGTAAATACGTCTATACAGAAGGGTCATTCGGCAAAAAAGCGTAACCAAGATGTGTAACGAAGATGTGTAAGATCCATATCAACATTGTGTAAATATGGACTGACAACAATGGTTATGTCATGTTTACTCGGCATCGTTGTGTTACATTACTGCCGTCAACAGTCCGCTTTCGTTATTGCGGAAAGAGCTGATCTGTGAATCGCTTGTAGAAGAAGTGTGTCGTAGACTAGATAATTCTGTGCTGGTAAAAACGTTTATTATATTACATTACAGAGACGTATTTACATCAGATTCTCCGGAACCGTGGTTCCACTGTCAACTTTTAAAATTGAGGAATTTTACCAAATAACAGAAAACTAACTTTTTAAATTCTTTTATGCTGATTTCAAGTCTGAATGCACAAATTTGGCATCTCATCACAGTTTTCAAGAAAAGTAATTATTTTATAATGTTCTTGAACAGTTTATTACCTGCACCCTCACAACCTGTCTGGGATAGAGACGAAGAGAGAGGAAAAGTACGTGTTCCATCATCTTCTCTGGTTGTTGCAAGCCCAACAGCTCCTCCATATGGTCAAAGAAGAGGTTGGGTCCCACGGTCACTTGAGGTATGATTGTTATAGAAGGTTATACAGAGAGAGAAGAACATTTACAGAAAGGGCATTTAGTTTGAACAAAGTTTTGGAATTATGTAACATGAAGTTGTCAGAAAGTAAATAATAAATCATGGAAATGGGAGGGAATTTGTTGTGAATGAATTAATTTTGGAACAGGTAAAATATTTTCTAGGTATAGAAATAAATAAAATATTCAGAAGAAAATATAATAGTGGAGTATTGGAGAGGTATTGCAATAATAAGTTCTTTATATTATATTCCTTAAATGTTTGGTTAGCATTAGTAATTCTTATCCTCAGGAACAGTAAATGATGTAATTGTTTACTCTGACATTGACACTACATTTTTATACAGGACTTTGGAGATGGTGGAGCATTTCCAGAGATTCCTGTGGCCCAATATCCGCTGAATATGGGTCGAGAGGGAAAAGAAAGCACATCAAACGCCCTTGCAGTTCAGTTGGATGCACAGGGGAAGATAAAGTATGATATCCTGGCACGCCAGGGACACTCTAAGGACAAGGTAATACATTTATGTTTTAAGTTCAGTTTGGATAATTTTAAGGACCTTATGTGGACTTTCACAAGTTTAACAAATACTGATAAAATTTGGTACTTCAGTTTTAAATATTACAATGTGTAAGTTGTATTGACTTTAGTTCGTATTAAGGCTTATTGTGCTTAAAGACATTTTGGGTGTGTCTTCGTGCTATATTTGCAATGGCCATATTGCTTTAAAAGAGAATATAAAATTGTTTTAATTCTGTACCTAGACAGCAGGCAAGCATTGTATTTGAAGGAAACATATTTTTATGCTTCAACCATACATACGTTTCCCATTGTCATTCGCATATTTAGTGAGACTGCTCTTTTACAGTTTTCAAGAGATAACTAAAATCGGGGGTAAAATGAAGGAAAGTACGTTGTAAAGTTGAGGAAATGGAAATTCATTTGGGAAAACAAATATGACTATATGCACTGAGAGTACAAAGCTAATACAATCATTTATGGGTTCTTAAAATTGACTCTGGTTGTGCATGTAAGTTATGAAGTAACCTTACAGTCTATCGCATTTCCTTGTATATTTTTCATTTTTGTTCATTCACTTCAAAATATATTTTAGGTAATAATATTATGAATCAGGTTCTTTATTGGCTAAAATTATTATATGTGTTTGCATTTCAGGTTATCTATTCAAAACTTACAGACCTTCTTCCAGCTGAAGTGGTGGCCGAGGATGATCCAAGCCTGGAAAGACCATCAGAAGATGATGTGCGAGACACTACTGAGAAGACTCGTCTTGCCTTGGAACGTCTTACACATACAAAGATAGCAGCCGCTATGCCAGTTAGGTGTGCAGAAAGAGCAGTGAGTATTAACCTGTATTTTAACCTTACTGTGTTACAGTTCTGAATATTCTGTAAATATTTCATGCAGTTTCAGATAAATTTATTGTATTTTATACATTTTTGTTATAAGTTTCTCACTAATTAAAGGTAAAGTTGTCCTTTGTGCTATGCAGACAGGGAAAGTGGAGGTGTAGCACTGCTGTGAGAACTTGAAATCTCATTGTATGAATCTAATACTTTTTGTACCAGGGTCCTGCACAGTACATTCGTTACACACCGTCTCAGCAGGGGGCTGCCTTCAATTCAGGTGCCAAGCAACGGGTTATTCGAATGGTGGAGGCTCAGAAGGATCCCATAGAACCACCAAAGTTCAAGTATGTCTTATTTTCATACATAATAACTGTGTTACTAGCTCACAGAATTCATGGACAGAATAATTGAGAAGCTGATAGTTGCTCTGTTGTTCAAGTTATTTGCACCTTTTATGGAACCTGAGGGTTCATTACCGTCTTCACAAGAGCCTGCTATCGGTCCCTGTTTTGTGGTATTTTTCCTTCAGGCTTTCCAACCAAAATTGTGTATGAACCTCTTATCCTCGCCGTGTGTTACATGGTCTGCCAATCTCTTCCTTCTTGATTTGGTTGTTCTGTTGTCTATAAAATTCAATTTAAAAAAATTCTAATATCGTACAGTTGAGATTTGTTCATGGATGGATGATATATATATTGCATCTTTAACATTGTATTCATTGGTAATCTTCGTTATGTATTCAGTTTTTTGTCCATTAAGGCATTTTTGAGAATTGATGAAGTTTGCTTCATGTAACGTGTTCTAATGTAGACCCCCACCTTACTTGGTATTTTTTTATGTACGCCATATACCAGTTTTCATTCGGCTGTCTTGTGGCTTCAGAAATGAAAAGTGGAATGAAGTAGGCATGACATGTATTGTGTGAAAATGTTTAAAAACTGCAAGTCCTCTTTGATTACTTTATTAATGGAGGTGCAGCAGAGGTTGAAACAATATGCTAAGAAGATTTGGTTGTGTTACAGGATAAATAAGAAGATACCTCGTGGACCTCCCTCACCACCTGCTCCAGTAATGCACTCTCCAACGAGGAAGGTTTGTTGAATTTCTTTTATATGAAAAATTTTGAAATTTTCTCTTTTATTTATGTTGGTTCTCAACATAGTGTTTTCCTGTTTGCAGGTAACTGTTAAGGAGCAGAAGGAATGGAAGATTCCACCATGCATTTCCAACTGGAAGAACGCTAAGGTATGTAAACAGGAGAGTTTTTTGTTTCAAAGGTTACTGTAAATACATTTTAAAGTTTAGAGAGATGTATAAATTACACTTGTGTAGCGGAATACTTTTATACTCAAACCATCTGAAGCTGATTGACTCATGTGACAGCGGATGCACAGAAGCATCCAAAATCCATCTGCTATCATTCATGTTGGACACTTTAAAGCAATGTGCTGTTGGGTTAGAATTCATCGAATGTCATTCTGCCATTAACAATGCACAGACCCTGTAGAATATTTAACAATAGCTGAGCTTTCCTTTCCATTTTTACTATCAATACTTTTTTTTTCTCTCTCTGTTTTGACCATCTATATCACTGTGCCAATTACATTTTATACATTCGGTTTAGTGACGGCTCTATACAGCCCATTCACTCTATTTTATGACTAATATACTTTTATTTCTGAGATCTGACACGTACCTTCACTGACTAACGAATGCCACCCATGTCTTTAGATAGGTACAAATAGTCTCAGATGGTATTGAGCCTCTGAACACACTAAGAAAATTTTAAAGCTTCAGATAGACAAATGATACCTTGATTGTGTTCAGTGGAACCCTGGTGTTCCCTGTAGGGATTTGTGTGGATCTTATTACCAGCATGAAACTCTCTTCATTTGGAAAAGTTGTGTTTGTTTAAAGTATTTTTAGTAATTACCGTTACCCATTGCATTTATCATCTGTTAAAGTGCCATAGGTATGGAGTTATTTCGTAAAAGTGCCTTTTGTCCTCATAAAATAATGTATTTATTTAGTTTAGAATAGTTTTGGTTTCATACAGTGCAAAGTAGAGAAACCTGGAGCATACTGTCTGTCTAGCAGTTTTAGTATATTGCCATAAATATGCAAATGGAGATAGCGTGCGTAATTCAGCGTTATTAAGTGTTCTTTTCTATATAAAACCACCCACTTCTGGTTCATGTCCATTTCATTCATGTGAGTTTTTATTGTGGTGGTTGTAATTGTCAGTATTTTTGAAGGCAGAAGGGATTTTGTGGGACCAGAAAGTTTGGGAAAACCAGTATAGACAATTTCAAAGAAATAAAATTATGTGAGTATGTTACAGATGATTTGGTCAAAAGTGTCACTTCAGATATGTTTGTTCTTTTGGATAGTTTCTTGAAAGCAAGGTATATAAGATTAAATAGAAATGTTTGCTACTTTCAGGGATACACCATCCCATTGGACAAACGACTTGCTGCAGATGGACGTGGCTTGCAACAGGTTCATGTTAATGAGAACTTTGCCAAACTGGCAGAGGCCTTGTATATTGCTGACAGAAAGGTAAGGATGGCTGTCACTTCAGTCTATAAGCTCTGCAGGCAAGTGATGATAATATGCCAGATACCTACAGAACTGAACCTGCGTGAGACAGCAACTGTTAGAACTTTAGGAAAGTCAGTGTCTGACATGTATTGCTGCTTGGGAGACAAATTATGTTTTATTTATTTTACAAACTTTTTATTATGCAGGGAGTTTGGAAGTAGTAGTGCTCACTTTACCAGTTTATGTTATTTTTTAACTTTAAAAGGTATGACTTTTACTTTATTGATTATATTTCTGTGGCAACCATTGGTGTCAATGCTGTGTTCTGTCATGTGTCACGCTAACTGAAGTTCTGATGGGTTCCTTGTTCAATAACTGTATGGAGTGCAGGAAAATAAAACAATGTATTACAGGCACGTGAAGCTGTGGAGATGCGAGCTCAGCTGGACAAAAAGCTGGCACTGAAAGAGAAGGAGAAGAAGGAAGAACATTTGCGACAACTTGCGCAAAAGGCCCGTGAGGAACGGGCAGGCATCAGAACTCAGGCAGCTGCTGGTAAGCATCATGTTGGTAATTAGAGGAAGGTCGTGTTTGGAATATTCCTGTAGTATTCATCACTTGTTTTCACAAGTTCCAGAAGCAAAAACTTTGATAGAGTAAATTATAGCACAAAATATGTTTGTTGCATTGAAGTCAAGGATGACAAATTGCATTGTATATACAGTAAACTCCTGATTATTTGGGCTAATGATGGGAAGAAGACACATTAATAATTAAAATATTGTAAATCTTTTTGTCTTGTACTAGATAAGGATGACGAAATTAGGGAGCGTGATCAGTTGCGTTATGAGCGTCACAAGGATCGTCAGCGTGAACGCAACATTGCTAGAGCTGCTCCCGATAAGAGGTAGGTCTTGAGGTCATTTGGCGAATCTTGAAGTGTTTCAGCTGATTATAATATTTTAGTAGTATTTAACTCTTTGACTGCTCTCTCTCAAAATTCTTATATGCTGGAAGAAATGTACAAGTCCTGCCAAATATTTATCAAAAGATGGCAAAATATGTACAGTTTGCTTCTTAACATACAGATTTCATTAGAGTAATGAAAAAAATTGTTGAGGTTCAGGAACAGATGGATAGTTTATCCTGGACAACTGAAATGTTAGCATTCATGAAATTTAATTTCAAATTAGCATCAAGGAAAAACCACTGCTTGGATGGTGTAAGGCCTAATCAAAAAGATTTTGTTCCGATGGAATCAGGAAGTTGTGAACTGTCAGACCAACTGCATTGAAAAGCAGGGCAGTTAGGTCTAAGTGCTGTGTGATTATTTTGTGAAGTCTTGTAATAAAATTGTCTTTCATTTTTACTTACTTTAGTATTATATATGGAATGTGGAACTTCTTTGAAATAACATATTGAATAAAATGGTACCTTTGCTTTGGTAATGTGGGTGTGAAACTCATATCTTGGCTTTTTGTGAACAAAGGAAACTGTCACTGGTATATTATGTATCAATGAATTGAGCATCTTGTAGCAGTGCTGAGGAATATCAGTATTTACATATATACACATGTTTTAGTAAATTGTATTCCCAGAAGTGGGGTGTTTATGTCTTATTCAAATACGTGAATATAATAAAAGTTATCCATGTTGTAGAAACACAGAACTCTATTGTTACCATGCTATTAGTAATGTTATTACTGTACATTATTCTAGCTTTGTCTTGTGATATTGCAGGTCAAAGCTGCAGCGTGATCGAGAACGAGACATCAGTGAACAAATTGCACTAGGTTTGCCAGCCAAAAACATATCTGGTGGGGAGGTTCAATTTGATCAGCGTTTGTTCAACACTACAAAGGGTATGGATTCTGGGTATGGGGATGAAGAGTCTAATAACGTGTATGATAAACCATGGCGTGAAGGTGGCAGTCTTGGCGCACATATCTACCACCCTAGTCGGAACTTGGACAAGGACGTGTATGGAGATGATCTTGACAAGTTGATTAAGACCAATAGGTACTCTTCATGTTGCTTTACTATGGGTACTTGGAAATTGCTAAGCACATAATTTAATTGTATTCATTTCTTGTTTTATAGGAAATACCAATAATGTACTGAATATATTAGTTCATTTATGTGAATGTGCTGGATTGGGTAATAATACTTTAGTTATTACATAAATAACTGCATGTTCCCAGCAGTCCTATGAAAATTAAGTTCAAAGACTGTTATAAGATTTTATACTGATTGTAAGGGATCTGTGGAATGGTTTTATTTGCAGGTTTGTGCCTGATAAAGAATTTAGTGGCACGGATCGTACTGCTACAAGAAGTGGACCTGTTCAGTTTGAAAAGGAAGAGGAGGATCCTTTTGGCTTGGACCAGTTCTTGACACAGGCTAAACGTGCGAGCAAGCGTCCCAAGGATGATCGGGATCGACGAGGTGAAGAACGTGATAAGCGTAAACGGAGAGAATAACTGTAGGTCATAAATATTTGGACAGCCTGCCAACTGCAACAAATAAAAAATATTTTCCATGAAGTTATTTTAATGTGATTGAGTGAACTACGGATGGGACATCCAAGCAGTATGTGCTATAATGGAATAACATTTGACACAGTTTCAAGTAGACCAGCAGTACAGTTAAACTGTGTGTTATTTGCAAGAGCAAGTGATTTAATTTCAGACTGTGTTAGTATGTGAATGTAAACACATTGGCTGAATTTAGTACACACCATCTATTCTACCAGGTCTTATACTGTAAATGTAAGTATACAGTAAATATCTTGGATGTTTTGAAAGTAGACAATATGAGGCTTTTATATATCTCATAACCACTTTTCTTTTTAATATATCCTTGCAAGGGTTTTGTATTGTATTTTTTCTCCTTTTTATGTCCACAAAATCTTTTTAATTGGTATTAAGTGCCTGGAAAGATACTCCGAATGGTGCACACATACTTTTCAAATGCATTGTCTATTATTCTGTAAATGTCATTGGCCTTGATAGTTGTTGTAGATATAAATTATTGTTGCAGAGTTAATAACGCTTCAGATTCCATGCTGTGTGGAACTGGAAGTAGTTTTTCTTTCCATGAAAAAATTGTTTCTTCTTATTCCATTTAGGGAGCCAGGGTAGCTCACTCAGTATAGTGACTGACTACAGACTAGGCAACTGGGAATTTGATCCCCGATGGGCACAGGATTTTTTTTTAAGGCTGTGCATCCAGACAGTGCCTACCAGCCTCCATCCATTCCCACGGATTAAGTGTGGCCAGGGTGTGACACTGACCACTC